AAGGTATTGATGTAATGAAACTATACACCAAGTTTCATCAATCTCACTTAATTAGAACTAAAGTTATCGTGTCCCAAAGCATCAACCAATCAAATTGCTTATCTCTGCTTACCCTAAGCGGAAAATGCTCATCTTCGAACTCCATCAAGGCATTGACCTAATCAACACATACACCAAGTTTGAACATTCTAGCTCAATTAGGCAGAGAGTTATCGTGCCCCAAAGTATCAACCAATCAAATTGCTTATCTCTGCTTACCCTAAGCGGAAAATGCTCATCTTCGAACTCCATCAAGGCATTGACCTAATAAACACATACACCAAGTTTGAACATTCTAGCTCAATTAAAAGTTATCGTGTCCCAAAGCATCAACCAATCAAATTGCTTATCTCTGCTTACCCTAAGCGGAAAATGCTCATCTTCGAACTCCATCAAGGCATTGACCTAATCAACACATACACCAAGTTTGAACATTCTAGCCCAATTAGGAAGAGAGTTATCGTGTCCCAAAGCATCAACCAATCAAATTGCTTATCTCTGCTTTCCCTAAGCGGAAAATGCTCATCTTCGAACTCCATCAAGGCATTGACCTAATAAACACATACACCAAGTTTGAACATTCTAGCTCAATTAGGAAGAGAGTTATTGTGTCCCAAAAAGTGTGACGGACAGACAGACGGACAGACAGACGGGACAGACAGACAGACAGACGGACGAACCCATTTTAATAGTCCCCTGCTTTCTTCGAAAGGCGGGGGACAAAAATATAAAAGATATGTAAATAAAAGGTTTGATAATATACAACACTATGTGTGGCTATGTGAATGCGACAGTATATATTTACACAATAACGCATTGGCCTACCTATGGATAAAACAGCGACGTATAGTATAATTTGTTCTGAGGTATACATGTACATCTCGTATTTCTTCCATGAAGATATTGTCAGCCATAATGAAAATTGTGTGAATTTTCATTCCCAACAGCCCAGGTAACATATATTTTGTAAAACTAAAGTTTCTTTAATAGCAGAATTAATTATGTCTGTCACCGACATCATAAAAAGGAAAATCCGTCCTCGAGGATCAGAATAGCGAACTCGTTATTATGGACCTCTACATCATCATACCCCCTAAAATATATGAGTAGCAGACAAGGTCGGATTTAAAAATAGGGATGTATTCATTACGCGGATCGATTTCATATCAGCTTAGTCATTGTTACCCTGTGTAAAACTTTAGTCCATATCAGCTACTTACAATAAGTGTAGTCTATATTTAACGGCGATTTATACATCTAGTTTCGGTTTAGATTTCCTTAAGGAAGATATTTTTAACCACCATGAAAAGTGTGTTTATTTTCTTTCTTCTTCACAGTTTGTAACGATGTAACAACGCATATTTGTAACATGGTCGGGGAACCTTCCTTTGCTCTCCCCTTTGAAATAACTAGACATTTTCAATGTTAATGCACACTTGTGATCGTTTACGCTAGTTTTAGTATAAATGATACCAAAAATGCAAATAATTATGAAAACTAAAAAGAACAACCATTGTTTATCTGCACGACACAAATAAGAAGCAAAAAAAAATCGAGTTGTAAACATCCGGTTGCCAGTGAGTATAATTTTCGAAGTGGATTGGAAAATTGCCGGATAACGGTTGTCTTATATCGCTTTAAAAACGTCTAAGAAAAACAGCTAATTATTTAGTGCTACAAATTCGATTAATGTCATCAAAGGCAAATGTTGCTCCAGCGTCATAGACACAAGAAAGATAAATTCTCAATGAAGGATAACCAAACAATATTTCTATTAAGGAATTACAGATGGTGGGTTATTGTAATGCGGATAGATTCTTGTGAACGCTATCAATGTTCAGTCTTCTGTGACGACTTTTCGTTCCCGAGTTATGTCCACTTTTCCGAACCATATCGATATTCAGTGGATCCCTAACTTTCCGTTTTGGACTCATACACCCATTTCCCGAAAAACTTGTAAACACGATAGAGGCTGTAGTTGTTAATGATGTTTTTAAATTTGGTAGGAAGCATTGGGGTCCTATGAGAGGATGAACTCTACTGATTTTAAGCAGTCCACGATTAAGCGTACACGGTAAACAGTCCATTTGCTGATTACACTATTTTGCCTATAGTGTTTTTAGGACTTCGAATTTTGTGTAATGGTTTGGATTGTTCGTACTTGGTTTTATTTTATTTCTATGACTTTCCGTTTCGAAGTCACCCCCTGGTGAACACAATAGAGGGTATAGTTTTAAATGTTTAATGTAAAATGTTGGTGTGAAGTATAGAATCCATGGGAGGATGAACCTTAACAATATTCAGTATTCCGCGACTTTAAAAAAAAACACCTTGTCAATAGAGTGTGTAATGGATCTTTTGATATTTAGCTTGACCACGAACGATATGCATAATCCGCAGCCTTCCGTCCATGAATTATCCTACATTTACCGAAAAAACGTGTCAACGCAAAAGAGACAGTATGTTTTACATTTTCATGGTTGAAAGCAATGAGGTCATAAGAGGATGAACCCTAGAGATTTGACTTCTTCAAGGATCCTAGATCATTATAAAATTTGCTCAACATCTAAGCTCAGACACAACTGCTGCGTGGAAGTATTCCATGCTTTCTGTGGCTATCGTTTTCTCTATTTTCAGACAGATCAATCATATCAAACAAATAATAATGGCGGAGGGACACAAAACAAATGAACGAGGGCCAGTGGTCGGCGATGATCTGGAAAAAATTCACATTACTGAGACACCCCATCTGCATACACAATGTCTTCAGACAGATTCGCATACCAATGTATTTTCGAGGAAAAACCTTGAGCTCTCAACGCCGCCAGCACAGGCTACATTGGGCAGATGTGTAACACTAACTTAGTGATAACAGATATCAGTTTAGTAAATATAGGATTTATTTACATCGGAACATAATATCAAACAGTTACATAGATACAACAGGAACTAAACTACATCGGGAACTAGACTACGACGGGAACACATCAGAACGGTACATAACTATATTAAATCTACCATTCCGCCCCTCTGCCAAGGCAGGGGCTGAACTCGGGTGAGTTCATACGCCGGGCTTCCGTCTGCTCCTCGTCTCCGCTCGTCTCGTATCTGCGTCTCTCCTCCTCTCCAGTCGTCTGCCTAACTGCCAGCAAAGTCCTGATTATATAGCGTCCGACAAATAGGGAAAATAGATAAAACCCATGATCATATATGGAATTGTCTTCTTATCATGTCATGGTATGATTACTGACCAGTGCGTATTCCTTTGAAGTCATGTGGAGCTTGTACACATAACATATGTAGTTTGTAAATGACATATTGGATTAATTACATGTATAATTAGATTATAGCTAGTTCGTGCCTTAACAGAAGTTTATACCGAGTTGAAAAGCCAATATCATATATTATCAAAAACCAGCTCAGGTCATAAAGTTCTATGCATCTAAATGATCATTCAATTTCATGAAAGTTATTGAGTCCTTTGTAGGGCCCATTAACGGAATTTTATTTTCAATTTAATTTATTGGAAGGGGTGGGAACTCGTTTTAAATATTTACGTGATTTAAAAAAAAATCAATCTTGATATAAGGAGTATATACGTACACATGTTACATACTTAGGCTTTTTTGATCAAATTGAAAACCAACATCAAAGAAAACAAACATCTCAATATAATGACTATGTACCTGAGTACACGGTTTTCATACAGTCAATCAAAAACATTTAATACAAAATCATTACATAACTGACATGGCTGTTGGAACCATACCCAGTTAGGCCTTTTAGCTTATTAAGATTTGTTGGCGACACCATGGCATAACCAACTCTCGATGCCATAGCATGGCTCCGATTTTCAGTAGATTAGAACGATTCGGCCATTTAATGATTTAATTTAAAAATGGAGAAGCAAGACTAAGCCTCGAATAAGCAGCACCGTGGATACGATAATAAATAATCAATCCACAGATCCTGTCAAAACCACAAACATTGATAACATCGCTCCAAATAAAGTCCTGAGATCAGTTCAGGATTGTTCTTTATTTTTCTTAAATTAAAATGCAAGTAGGTTTGATCTAGTAATAATCCATGTGTCACCAGACATTATCCAGTTCAAGTCTTGTATCAGGAACATATCTGTCTGTAAATCATGGCTAATGAAACAGCATAGATGTCACATCCAAGTTTAGTTGAGAAACAAGCAAAAATTACTATTGTCTGGCCTGTGTTTTAAAATCTATTGGAGTACAGTGGTGGTCTCTTGTCACCTGTAATCACATTGGATTGGAATCCTTACAGTCTTGACCCATGTCTCCATTCGGGCCTATTCCGGGAATATTGTTTGTTCAACTTCCCTAAGATAAGAGATAGTGAGATCTGAGAACAGTTGCCCCGGTCCTATCATCGTATCATTAGTTTATTGACGTCTGTAAAACATGGCTAAAAAAAGATAAATATGTCATGTACAAGTTGAGTTAAAATCTACAAGTACAAGGGTCGTCTCTTGTCACCTGCTATCGCCTTCATTCCAAAAATATGGCGTCTTGCTGTTTCATTGTGGGAGATCCGTGAGCAAACTAACGAGGAGGCCGCCATTGCTTTGCATGGGATTTCTCTGACCAAATTTCGAAAAACACTGATGTGATAGATTCACAGATGGTTGATGCACGTAAAGAATACAGATCGCAAAAAGGTAAATGAAAACTTCAAAACAAACAGCTGTCAAAACTTAACCTTCGTATCAATCAGCTGATCGCTGTCACATTTAGCAGGTCAATACTCAAACTGTGAGTGTACAGTGTTGCATAGAAATAAATAGCACAGGGTACATGAAGAATGCTTAATAAACAAACATGTTTATTACGTTCAGTATTATTCATTTATATATTTTAAAATTAATTACTATTATTAATCTTGTTGTATGATCTATTCTATGCCTACTTGCATTTGTTTTGCTGGGTAGACCAGCGCTACCAACTCCTTTTTGCGGCCTGTACACTTAAAATTTCGCTTTCTCGTGTATTCTTTAAGTGCATGAACCTACCAGGTCTCTGTCACATCGTATGAAATATCCTCCATCCTTAAAATAACCGTAAAATCGGCGTTTTTCGCACTTTGGTCAGAAAAATCACATACAAAGCAATGGCGGCCTCCTCGTGAGTTTGCTCACGGATCTCCCACAATACAACAGCGAGACGCCATTTTTTGGGAATGGGTAATTCATGTATATTACTTTTCCTTCAGCTGCTCATGTCCCTATCGTCGTGTTTAGAACTTACAGGTCTTGCCTTTACATTAGTTTATTGACGTCTGTAAGACATGGCTAATAAAAGGGTAAAGATGTTGTGTCTCGACAATTTATTGAGAAATAATTCTGAATTAATCCCCAATATTTTGTGAGTTTTTGGTCATTTAATGAAAGTAATGTGGTTGTGTATTTGTATATTTTCAGCTCCGCGTATACCTAGTAATTGGAAGAAAGGTGAGTTATTAGGTAAGGGCGGATTTGGTGAGGTATATAAATGTTATGACATGGATACAGGTCGGGAATACAGTGTTAAAATGATTCAACTTGGTAATTTAAATGATGAAACCGAAATGGTAAGAAACTAGCAATCTTATACTAGACTTGATTTAAACTTTAAATACAGCAAGTTAACTTTTATGTACACCAGAAAAGGTGTCATTTTATGGTTTGGTTGGCTGTCATTTAGTCAAGTGTGGTGGTCAAGCTTGTACGTGACAATGGGTAAACTCTCTTCTCGGGTTTCTCTTGGTTCTGCAGTTAACTTCAAGCATACTATCGAAATAAAGATAACTAAATGTTAATCCAAGTGTTGTGTTGTTGAATGATCTATCTTGCTACCGAATAACATATTCTGCTGATTCTTACTTGCCATGGTCAACACTTGCGACAAGCAGTAAATATGCTAACACCTGATTTATCGCTCCTTTCACACATATTCATAGAAAATACAAATTGTTTGTTAGTCTCATATAACCAGTCTTTCGATAAGGTTAGTTAGTCTTTATAATTAAAATTGTATTATATTACAGGACGTGCTAGCCTTAGATGGATTACATCTGCTGAAGAGTCTTCAACATGAGAGGATTGCTCAATATTATGGATGTCAGAGGGATGATAAAGTATTATCAATATTTATGGAATATATGCCTGGTGTAAGTACTTTATTATTATCCAGCACCCAATAACGTTCGACAGGGATATTGAGATCGGCCTCGTCCTTCCACCTGTCTGTTCTAGTTTTGTTTCAGTTTTTTTTGTTTGATAGAGTATTATTTGACTTAGTCGACTTCGTCTGCTTGTTAATTTTTGAGCAGTAAAAAGAAAACATCATCCTTGTAAGATCTCTACAGCCATATTATAGAAATTATTAATTAGACCTTTATTTATATAACAAGCCCACGATTAACCCTGTAGACCCTCGGATGACTTGGCTACAGCTTGGATTTAAACAGTCGTCCAACTTGATAATCGAGAATATGTAGGCGGAGTTATCGTCTGACAATCAAACGATCGGCAATTCTCGGATCCTTGCATAGACAGTTGATGCCAATTTCTAGCCCAAACTTCCAGCAGTGATAATTTCATTCAGAATAAAGTAATTTGATTGAAATTTTCAATATTGTCCTCTTTTATCATCTATGGTTGAACTGGTATACCAAGAATGGCCAACTTCTCATTAAAATCTTAACTAATGCATCGTTAGAAAGTATTCAAGACAGGTATTACAGGGTTTATCCTATCTTCACAAAAACGACATTATACATCGTGATATTAAAGGTTAGTAGCATATTGTTCATCAGAGTTATCCAGTCAAAATTTTATACTTAGTGACCGGGTAAAGTTACCAACAAATATAACTTGAACGTTATTGCTGAAACAGAATATTTCTCCGTGTATGCTTGTTGGTCTGAAGTACCAGTTAATTTAAAGGAGCTAAATCGCTAATATTTGATTTACATTCAATCGTTTCCATTTTACCCTCATTTCAAATCAGTTATGTGCGGCGAAATATGCCAGAAGTCTCAATCGAATGGCAATCTCTAACGTCTAGTTATTCCAGTCTACGTCGATAGTATTTACTGCGCATTCTCTCCAGATAAGAATATGTCGTCACCGTTTGCACGACTAGTGGAATATGTCTAACCTCGTTCTTCGAGTCCCATGTTACAAATTACGCTGAAATGCACTATATTGTAAAATGTTTATTTTTTCTTAAATATTAGATATCAGAAGCCCATCTTTACCCGGTAAGGTCACAGCATCAATCTTGATTTAAATTTACTAATTATTTGTGTTTTCAATTTCGAAGAATTTAGATCATATTGAGTTAGAGACTTAGCTACTTTAAGTCTGCCAATCAAATGCAAAGATGTAAAGAAATGGCCTATTTATGATCAGATTAAAATGTTAAGCCATTAGGAAATATCCCCAACACAACTTTAATTTAATTCTGTTTCAGCTGATAATATTTTGAGAGATACTCATGACAATGTAAAACTGGGAGAATTTAGTGTGGCTAAACGACTTCCGGCTGCTAGATTAGAGACGACAGTTGTAGGAACACCACACTGGATGGCACCTGAAGTCATCAATAGTGAAGGTTATGGTCGAAAAGCTGATATTTGGTAAAACAGAGAGAGAGGGAAATGGGGTTTAACGTCCACTCGACACAAACTAGGTCATTTCGGGACTAACATATTGTTTAATTTTATTTCAATAATTCGCTTGCGCGTAGGGGTCTTTAGCAGTGGGAGGACCCGGAGAAAACCCACGAGGTTGGACAGGCGACCCTACTCCTTGTCACGTACAACCGGGGATTCGAAACCACGCCAGTCGACTCAATGACAGACTTTATGATACAGTGCGCGCACGCTAACCATTCAGCCATCCCCCCCCCCCCCTTGATAAAAAAACTTTAATCTCACGTATATCATGACAGGATAACAATAGTGACTTAATTAATATGGCACATGACTCACTAGATCCCGGGTTGGATGCCAGTTGTTGGCTGGTGAAGTTCTCAGAATTTTCCAGCCCCTCCCCCCCTTTTTTAGTCCTAAGCGTGAGATGAAAAATCCAGATGTAATTATCTTGATTAACCCAGTTGGTACAGAAATATGAGACGTTTGTCAGTACAGACAGAATCTTGTTTTTTGAAAAACTGGATGATTTTTACTTACAATAATATTGTTGATCTGAGCCACGTCATTAACATGATTGGACAGATACAGATAATAACCTGAATACGTCATTAACATGATTGGACAGATACAAATAATAATCTGACTACGTCATTAACATGATTAGACAGATACAAATAATAACCTGAGTGCAAGTACTGTGATTATTCAATACTTGAGAATTGACATGCCTTCCGGTGATCTATTGAAAATAAGTAAGTTCCACTGCAGACCAGTTTGCTCTTTACCATTGCTTCAGGAATGTATTCGTCAGAAGTCGACAAAATGTATGTCCTTTACTTCTTTTAAAATCTTCTAATGATTTAATAGAGTCAGTTGTAATTTTGTAGGTATATAGTCATAATAGCCATTTCTATTTTTGACATTTCTTTTATATGTTGGTTTCAGGAGTTTGGGCTGTACGATTGTTGAAATGTTTACTACTAAACCTCCGTTCCATGAATATGAGCCTATTGCTGCAATGTTTCGAATCGTAAAATGTAAACATCCAGAATATGAACTACCAAAAGATGTGTCCGATTTGGCCAAGGAACTTTTAGCACTTGCATTTATAATAACTCCAGTCGATCGTCCGTCTGCCGATGATCTGCTAAAACATGGTTTCGTTCAAGATGGAAGACAGTGATCAGGATATATTGTGCATAGAAATGACACAAGGCCTATTTGCAAATTCAACAGAAAATGCTTGATGTCAAAAAACGACTTGTAGGAGATTCTCTATTTGTGTATAGAAACGACAAGACTTTTTGCAAAATCAACGGAAAACGTCGAAACAAACCTAATGTCTTTAGTAAACATCTGTACCATATACATGTGTATTTTGACTGTTTGTGTTGGATGTCAAGTTTGTGTCAATACAAGAGATGAGAAGAAGGGGAGACGACTCTAGTTAAAGTTTTGTTAAATTCAACTACAAGTTTATTATTGATGAAAAAGTGCTAGAGACAGTATTAATACTGAATATAGTATAAACGTTACTATGCGCATGCGTGATCAAACGGACATTTATGTACTCTTCTGTCAAGTCTACCAACCGCTCTTATTGGCGTGTGTTCAGTCTGCAAACGTTAGATTCATTGCACGTGGTGTGTGGTAATGTTATTTCAAAAAGGCGGTGATTTAATGAAAGCAATACCGACATCCAGGCTGTAAAGAGAACCCCTGAATTATGACGTCATATACATGTGGTTCTCTCCAAATTTTCAGCGATTTTCTGTATATAGGAAAATACAAAAAATCGTGCATGGACACACCGATGTATTCTTGCTGTTCAAATCGTGTACATGAAAACCTGACCTTGTAGTTAATCGTTTAAATCAAAATTATTGATATAATTAGTGTTCATCAGATTTTCACATAATACTACCAGGAAGACAAGATTGTGCATTATTTAATAAATTCACCTGCTATACACAAAGCAACAGCTTTCTGGGGGATCACTTTCAAGTTTTCAGTGTCAGGGGCTTTAACAACCAATAAAATAGATTAACGAGTCTGAATTCCAGTCCAATTTGGGAGGCCCGAAGTTACAGCTTTAGTTGGATTATTTCGTTAGCATGTTCTGAAATAATCAGAAATATCCAAAAATATGAATGACTATTTCTCTATTTTTCTTGTAGCCACCAATACCTGAAAATAGCCAGATTGCCTTGAAATTTTTTAAATTGGTGAGCTGCGTCGCCCCTTTCGAGTGCGGGCCCAATTTGGTGAAATTGGTCAAATGTGCCAAAAACCTGTTCAAGATTTGTGTGATAAGGGACATAAGTGAGATTCGATGGGGAACCCGTTTTCATTAGCCCAATTCGGAGCAGAACAGTAGGACGTTAAACAAAACCCCATTTCATTTCATTTCATTTCGATGGGAAACCTCCTAGGCTGTAAAAAGAACTCCTGAATTATGACGTCATATACGTAGGGTTCCTCCAACTTTTCAGCGATTTTCTGTATATAGGGAAATACCAAAAAATCGCGCAAGAACATTATCCGATGTATTCTTGCTGTTCAAAACATGTACATGAAAAGTGGGCCTTGTAGTTGGTCGTTTAAATCACAATTATTGATATAATTAGTATTCATCAGATTTTCACATAACACTACCAGGAAGACAAGACAATGCATTATTTAATAAATTTTACATAAATGTAACATAGTGCTATCAGGTATCGAATATACACAAACCAACAGCTTTCTGGGGGATAGCTTTCAAGTTTTCAGTGCCAGGGGCTTTAACAACCAATAAAATTGATTAACGAATCTGACGTCCAATATTGTTCCTTCTTACAGAGCTGATTGTAGAAAATGCGGGGGCCAATTGGGAGGCCCGAAGTTACAGCTTTAGTTGGATTATTTCGTTAGCATGTTCTAAAATAGTCAGAAATATTCAAAAATATGAATGACTATTTCTCTATTTTTCTTGTAGCCACCAATACCTGAAAATAGCCAGATTGCCTTGAAATTTTTTAAATTGATGAGCTGCGTCGCCCCTTTCGAGTGCGGGCCCAATTTGGTGAAATTGGTCAAATGTGCCAAAAACCTGTTCAAGATATGTGTGATAAGGGCAGTGGGTGAGATTCGATGGGGAACCCGTCTTCATTAGCCCAGTTCGGAGTAGAACAGAAGCACGTTAAACAAAACCCCATTTCATTTCATTTCATTTCGATTGGAAACCTCCTTAGGATTGATGGGAAGTTTGAGTTTGACCATAGTCTGCCTCAATCTCAGTCAGTGAATTTTGAGTTTACGACGGATTGACGGACAGGGACGACGATAATATAAACCCACATAAAATATGGGGCAAAAAAACCACGCGAAAACTACAACTGAATAGTTTCATGGTTTGACTCCAGCCGTGAAACTATTCATTTTTTTTTCAGACAACTGGTATCATTATGTATAGCATTCGTTGTAAAACTAATTCGGAGAGGTTTTGATTTGACAGTTTTTACGTATTTTTGTAACAGGTTTCGAAGTATTTTGGTTCTGTTATGCAAAACCTTTTTCGACGTTCCAAAGTAAAAGTTCGGTGATAAGACCACCTAAAGATACATTTTAATTAGAACAGGTATCGCTTTAGTTTTTATATTTTACGGTGATATTTATTGCTTTAAATCTTCCTAGTGCTAAAATGGAAAATTTCACCTTTTGACCTCCGGGGTCACAAAGAACAAGGGTGAATTCAGCAAGTTTACATTTTTATTGAAAGGATGATAACTTTCGATCATTTTCTGCTTATTTGCACGATGCAAAAATGGCTGCGCATTCACTTTCAGTGCAAATGAACTCATTTGACCCCAAATATCTCGAAACCCAACGGCGGACTGATTACCCCCCGGCATCGTATTCTACGCGAAATTTTACTATAGAAAAGTTGAGTCTGATTTTGTGCCCATTTGATAGACACCCCTCCGCACTGAACATCGATATGATTCGTCCTCCCATGACCACAATGCTTAACTGCAAATTTGAAAAGAATCCGCCAAAAACTGTAGCTCTGCCTCGTTCAAGAGAGAAAGAGAGAGAGAGAGAGAGAGAGGAAGGAGTTTAATGTCAACGCGACACAAACAAGGTCATTTCGGGACTAATATATGGTTGAATTTAATTTTAATAAATCGCCTGTGCATAGGGGTCTTTAGTAGTGGAAAGAAACCGGAAAAACCGGAGAAAACCTACGAGGATGGACACACGACCTTGATTACTCCTTGTCAAGTACAAGCAGGGAATCAAAACCATGTTGCTTGATTCAATGACAGACCTTATGATCCAACGCTCATGCGTAAAACCACTAGACCCCCAATACCTAAATTGTAAAATAAACTTCACAGTAAATAATGTCCAAAAAGATATAATTAAAGTGCATGTATAAAAGAGTTCAAGGCTCCAACATCATCGTTCATTTCCTTTGATTCCACTGTTAGCAGCGACCTGATTTTCAGGGAAAGTAATTCTGTGATAAACCAATTTCCGCATTAGTTTAGCATGCTCATTATTTAAGCACTGGGGGTTAATATTTCTAGATATGGCTAGAGCATTCTGAAATTATAAAAATCAGAAACACTATAATTCAATTTATCAAAATATTGTTTTTAAATTCGAGCTTGTATTGTCTCAAAAATGAGTGTTAATACATTAATCGCTATTATATTAAGTCTTGTTGTTATAAAATAATTTTATTTTTACCAAAGATACGATTCATATATATACATGACACGCTAGCTATATATACATGCGATGGTCATGCAAGATACGCCCACTTTTTGCAAGGAGTGAAAGGAAAACAGGGACAATCGAGGGTGTTTATTCTCATTTACTCAATATCCCAATGCTTCACATCGAATATGAAAAATAGAGTTCGCCTTTTCATGACCCCAGCTCTTCACGCCATATTTGTTTTAAATCCGTTAGAAACTGTAGCTTATATCACGTCTAGGATTTTTTCGGCAAAGGGGGTTGGGGTAACTCTTGAACTGAACTTTGATTATCAATAGGGTTCGTCCTCGCTTAATAAAATGCTTCACAACAAATTTGAAAAAGTTATGTTAAAAGCTGTGACTACGAGGAGTAACTCGGGAATAAGAGTTCGTGTAAAGATGATTATCTAAAGAGTTTGTCCTCTAGCGAACCGGTTGCTTAAAACAGGATTTTAAAAAACATATGTTAAATTTTTTAGCCACTATTGAGTTCATAAGGTTTTCGGGAAAGAGGTATACCTTCAGAACGGAACGAAAGGACAAATTCTTACCAAAAGCAAACTCATCCGACATATTTTTTACTCGTATATTTATTGCAGCTTCTAGAGGCTCCACAGCCTTGCTATATGTATTACATGCTTTGCCACTATTTACGTAAAGTGGGGACTGGGTGCATTTTAAGGGGAAGTCTCGCTCTGAAATTCGAACTCATCTCAGATTGTTGTGTCATGAACACACTCTGTGTCCACAATCAGGGAAAATATAAATCCATTGATACCATACATACCAATAAAACAAACGGTCCACAAGTTGCTAAATCTCTCTGTTTACTGGAAACCCAATCGTTACATTCAACCCAGTTAATGTTCAGTTCACCAGTTGTTTCTGTACGAAACCTCATGAATTTACTGTAAAATAAATAGGACCATCGCATATCACATTAGACAATTTATAATAAAATCAAATGGGAGACAAAAGAAAGTATAGCAGTAAAAACACAGCATAAGAGATTAAAGTATACACTCGACACAAACTATGTCATTTCGGGACTAAGATGTCGTACAGTGTTATTTCAATAATTCACATGCGAATACGGATCTTTAGCAGTGGGAGAAAACAGGAGGACCGGAGACAATCAAATAAATTATAAACCAGTAAGTTACTCACCTCCATCTATCTACAATATCAGTATCTCCATACTGAAGAGAATCGAGTAATGATACTCTCCCTTGTGTAATATTAGCAGCAAGTAAAACCCAATGGTGACGGGTATTAACAGGCATAAATATCCAGGTATAGTCGTTTAGTTTTACCTGAAATGTTTGTAATAAAAAATTAAAGTTGGATTATGTAAGTGCTTAATCTACCTATTGCAGTTATTTTTTTCTGTCCCAAATCTACTCTCTAGATCATCAGATGGCTTAGATATTGAATGGATTAGACAATACCCACCACATATTCCTTAAAAGATAATACGGTTACTGTCGAAAGGACTGAAAATCGAGACTTTACAGTGTCAGTTGTACTTGATAATTGAGAATATGAACTATTAACACACCTGTTATTAAACAATTAAAAATACTTTATGACTTACATTTTCTAAAGATGACATACATTGATCATAATGTTCTTCTAACATCAGCGCTGCTATGTAAGTTGGAATTACATAAATATTATTGCCATGTTGCTTTTCATCTTCACTAAGTAAACTTAAGTAGGCGTCTATAATCTAAAACATGTTTTCAGAAATATAAAATGACCTCTTATTATCTGATGTTTATCAAGTTTCTTGAGAGATATATACTGCATAATATTGGTGTCATTAGTAAATAAAACACTTTGCAATTATACATTAAAATCCTTAAAATTTTATGGGCATAATTAAAATCCGAAACACCTAACAAGCATCATTAAAATCCTTAACATTTAACAAGTATCATTTAAATCCTTAACATCAAAAAATAAGTATTTTCGATTGTTGTAAGAAAAATCTATACTTATTATTCGTTCAAATGGGATATAATTTAAGTATAATAAATCGAATTTTAGTGTGGGGTAGCTAACATACTGTAGATCAATTTTCAATTTCAAAATACTACCTTATCATGTAACCAGTTTTTACCGTCCAGAGACCGTAAATCCTCAAGGCTAAATCTGGTATCTGCCTTAACTGTTATCTCTGTGTTTTGGTATCTCTGTAACTCTTCAATCAGTTCATCTGCGTCTTTAAAGTTTTCTGAACAATAAATAAATGGACGACAATTAGAAACATTCAACAAAGCAAAGAAACTAAAACAACTAAAAAAACCAAACAAAAATACAACTAACAGTAGTATCTGAAATGGCAAGACTCGAACCCTTTCCTTCTCAAACTCGATTATCAAACCAACAGAGGGTCGGAGGAATGAATGAAGATTGGTTTTATAGCACCAAACGGACTATATTGTGCCAAACACATGGTGAAATATGAGGCAGGCTAAATTCTAAAACCAAACAACCCATTAGAGATTTCGTTTTACATGTCTTTTCCACACTAGGATCTGGAAGAGTTGTTATATGACACGCGTTCTGGTTGATGTGAGGGATTAGTCAATGAAACGGCCTGTTACGGTCAGTTCTTGGTGTGCGGTGCACGGAACTGTGGGTATCCCACTAGAAACATCAGCGCTGGTTGGTTAATGAAATGTACGGCGCCATAGGGTCAAAGGCCTCTCTTATGACCCCTGACATAACCTCCCACTACAACCGGTTAGATCTTCTTGAAGTGGATGCCATCGAAAGTATAAAAAAACGAAACGGAATATAAATGTGTATTTAAATCAGATTGATGAAATCTATAATAAAAACTGAACTATTTTAAAAGGTATGTCTTATAATATAGACCCGGTTGCGCAACTAATTGGGGTAATGACTTGCGACTGTAAAACTGCGATCTAAGATATTTAACATGCTTACATTAATTCAAAATGTGCTTTACTGAGAAATGGGGTTTAACGTCCACTCGACACAAACTAAGTCATTTCGGGACTAATATATGGTTTAATTTTATTTCAATAATTCGCTTGCACCTAAAGGTGATTAGATATGGGAGAAACCGGAGGACCCGGAGAAAACCCACAAGGTTGGACAGGCGACCCTACTCCTTGTCACGTACAACCGGGGATTCGAAACCACGCCAGTAGACTCAATGACATATTCTATGATACAGCCATTTACCCCCTCCCTTTGTTTAAGCAATAGTTGGGTAGAAAATAAAAACCTCACTGATACTCCTTTTATGTAGATGTGTTCAGTGTGGGCTTTAGGTGTAGGATAAAGCACAAGACTGAGGTTATGCTGGGGAAAGAAAGACTGAAAATAATAACCCGAGAAAAAGAAAAACCGAGGCCGGCAGGCCGAGTTTTTTCTGTCGAGGGTTTTTTCTGAAGATTTTCTTCCCCAGCATAACCGAAGTCGAGGACTTTATCTTGGTTTTAATACAGCACATATCTGCTTTTATCTTATAACAGTGTTTCGTCCAAAACTTTTACTTTTTATCCGTTTTAAATTCATTCTTCAGAACTCCCAAAAATCACCATTCTAAAATGATTGCCACTAGTTTCCCAAGTCAAAAGGTGTTTGAATTATCAACAATGGATTTACCTTTACATATAGGATCGCTTGGCAATAAATCTGTTCTCTTTGGTTTACTAGTTTCACTGTTTTGTGCCAAGTACTCGCTATTCCGGTCGACAGGTCCAGTGCTATCTCGTCTCACAATTACCACACCTCTAGTATAGAGAGCCTTTCTTACTTGAGTCAAATATGCTGGATCTGGGTAGCCATTACTAAAGTATAATATACATAATATGCATTACGATTGTATGTTTATTCAGGACATCACAGTTTTGATGTGTCAAGTATAAAATTATTACTACGATGCGACTATTGGCTTAAATTCTGAAATAGAATCTCACCATCTGTGTCACCTTGCTAGACCGCCTTTTTTTTTTATCTATACCTACCTTTCTGGTCCACCATCTTGTCTGGTTTTATGTGGTATGTTACTCCATGTTACAAACTCTCTACCAGGTGATGACGTCACACCTGAACTCACGGTAAATATCAATCTTCTATCAAACGCTAGTTTTAATAACTTTAAGATTACTCTACCCTCCGTATTATCAGGTAAATAGGCTGTCTCTGTTTTACCTTTAAACGGGTAGCCAGGTCTTGGGTGGTTCGCCTGCAATAAAAGGTTTTAGAATTAAAAATAAAAACAACCATGATCTGTGTAAAACATCGAAATAAAACTGAAAAGTTTTAAAAAATAGAGTGAGAGAAATGGGGTTTAACATCCACTCGGGACTAACATATAGTTCAATTTTATTACAATAATGCGCTTGCGCGTAGGGGGTCATATTCCTGAAGCCCCGAGAAATCCCTCTCTGGCCATTGCTGAATTAGCTTCTGATACTTGAGCTTTTGAGGGAGTGTGTTTAATCCTCCTGTTCAATCAAATCTATCCCAAGTACAGCAACATGACAGCCCATCGATTAATCTGGATCGTCCCTAAAACTTTGGACAGTGATTTAAGGTAATAAAATCGGTGAAAGTATGTTCGTCTCCAAACAGTATTGTTTACATTGTTTTCGATTTGATAGTCTCGTTTGTCACGCAATTACTTTTTCAGCAATATTCTGCTATGCACAGGTTAATTGGGTATAATAACGTTATGTAAACATAATATTTGGTCCAATTTGGAGCTCTGCTTTAAGCGAAATGCCTTTGTAACGCAGTTAATTGGTTGTTAATCGGACCATTGACCAGTCATAATCTGGAACAGAAATTTGCTTTCGTTAAAGCAGTGTTTAGTGGGATTAGGTATAATCAAATGAAACACTGCGAGAAGTATGGTAGGGGATGTTTAGCACGCGTTAACCGTCCCCACCCCCCACTGCTAACGTTTTAAAGAATGTCTGAATAAGATGCACACCCACACAATATATAATATATCAGCAAACAATCCTTCAAATCTGAACTGATTAAGACTCCTTGAGAGCGGAGATTCTTCTCAACTCAAACTCCACAGTGATCTGCCAGTGTGTGATGTACACTTACCGACTGAATACCATCGTGGAAAGTATAAATTATTTCTATGGTATCACAATAAGGAAAACCGCCAAGATGAGTGTGTAAAATACTGTGTTCCATTTTGACACCAGGTTTGTATTTCACCATAGGCACTAGTATATTTTGAGGTTCATTTTACATGTACCCGTACTAAAATTTTGTTCAAACAGAATGCCCACCTAACAAGTTGCCTCTTACAAAAATCAGCTAAAATTGTTATAAATCTGAACCGAGTAGGTAGTAGAGAATGCGACTGAATTCCGTGAGAGTAGAGATTCTTCTCAAATTCCAGTATGTAACGTATACTTACCGACTGAATACCATCGTTGAAGGAATAAAGTATCTCTGTGGTATCACAATGAGGAAAACCTTCAAGATGAGTGTGTAAAATATTGTGTTCCATTTTACCATCAGGTTGGTATCCTGTTTGTATTTCACCATAAGCATTAATATGACAAATCGGACAGACAGGGTTCTTCTCAATTGCTGCATCTACACATTCTGCACAAAATGTATGTCCACAAGGCAGCGCTTTAATGTCAGTAATTTCATCTAAACATATTGGACATTTTGTATCCGATATTTTAACAATTCCCCCAAGTTGTTTTATGTAATCTTCATAGTTAATCTGAAGCTTCTTTATTTTATCTTCAGAATCAGCAACTAAATGTATCTCTTTTAATGTGGATGGCTTGGCTGTTTTAAACAGGTTTACCAGAGAGGTGAACAGAACATCAGCATCAATGTTTCCAATATCTTTAAAACAGAATACAACTGACCCAATTCAAAACATGATAATAGAACACTATTATGATAAAGCACATAACAAATACTTACAGTCAGCACACGAAATGAAAGGATTGGTTACCAGACTTGAAATGGCCTCGGTCGATCCGGATCATAATACAAAATAACTGTTCGTAAATATATACTAAAACATACAGTTCTTTTCTGCATAGTGAATAAACTTTCTGGAAGTTGTAAGAAACATTTGAATCCATTCGTCAAAGTCATCTTGGGGCATGAAATCAAGCATAAATCCAGACATGATATTTAAATTTCTTTTGTTTTAATTTAAAAGGAAAAGAAATTGAAGTTTTTACTGTACCTATTGTAAATGATGCATCTGTTGTCATACTAATTTCTTTTACCAGATTATCCAGTAAAACATCTATTTCTTTCCGGCCTGGTTTAATTGATGAAATAAGATGGTAAATATGTTGGTATGGTAAACATCCTGCCGAAGTAATTAATACAGATCCAGCCTTAAAACCCCCGTCTGATCTCACCTTTGACCTTTCTTCTTTGTAATCACCCCCCGCTGCGTTGATGATCTTTTTAGCAGAAGCCTTAAAATTAGTCATTTTAGTATCTTCCCAAGTTGTAACAGAATCTGTTTTAGTTGATAAAAGTGCTGCTTGGTAGATGTGTAGAGTAATAATAGAATGTAAGGTACAGGTTATATGTGGTTTATTGTTGGTTATCTCCCTTTCTGGTTGCTGTACAGCAGCCTTACAAGTAATCTCTTTAATAAATCTTTCAATTTCTTCTTTTATCAAATCATCATCATCCTCTTCAGTAAAAAACATGTCAAAACCAGTCTGAACCATTGAAACCATTCCATCTAGGAGATCAACAAAATAGATTTCCCTTAAATTGGACACAGGATAAACTGCATCAAAACTTTTCACTGCCTTTGCATACATATGGGCACAGATATTCTTAGGTACTCCAAAAATAGCTGTAAAAACAAGGGGATTTTAAATAACACACCTGTATCAATTTACAGGTAAAAATAACAATTTTTCCTGGAACTACATCCCATGTTATTGTCATTTCAACTGAAGCTTCTGATATATCCCAATATAGGGGATATAAACTTCAGCTGTCACAAATAGATTCCAGGGGATATTTCTTGTGAAAGGGCACAACACGTTTGTATAGACAGTGGTCTATCATTTAAAACACCCTAACGTATCACTGATGTTATTCTGCAAAAAATGGTACTTACAAAAGAAAATATATGACTGCTCTCCTGGCCATTTTGTATTGTAAGTTAGATATTTTAAGTACCATCTTGTCCAAGTGTTTTATGAACTGAAAGTGCTGATGTAAAATGCTTTCCAGTTATCCGGGTCATTAAGACACTAGATGATACTATCCCTTATACTGAATTCATTGTGGCAAAAACGTGATCAACCCCGGGGGCGCTGGAGGGGGGGGGGGTATTTTTACACCAACTAAGCTATAACCTACCTGATGATATTGAAGGAATGGCGATGCTTTGAAAACCATCTTGATCTGCTTCTACAAGACATCGTACAATAGTTTTACATAAATCATCTTCACAGGCCGATTTGTTGGAATAATCAGACCAACATGGTCCTACAGCATGGTACACTTGTTTACAGATCATATTACCACCAGTAGTTTTACAGATACCAGTAACAGGTAGTTGTCCATTGTCATCTATATATCGTTTACACTGTCTGTCTAGTTCATCTCCACCAGCTGTAGCTATAAACCTAGCTACTTCTCCAACATGCCTCATCATTTCATTAGCAAAATTTACAATAACCTCAATATCTAATATAGTTATATCGCTCTGCTTTACACACACTGTCAGATGTTTACACTTTGTATAGAAAATGTGTTCTTGGATCAGTGGTGGTGCTAATTTCACAGCAGTTGGAGTTGGTGTATATTCGTCCGTTCTTGTTCGTTGCTGTTTTTTATTGGTTAATTTCAGGATACCAACTGCTACTTTAGCTTCATGACTGACAGGAGGAGTGGTGGGTGTATATTCGTCTGTTCGTGTTCGTTGCTGTTTTTTATTTGTAAATTTTATGATACCAACTGCAATTTTAGCTTGATGACTGACAAGTTCTACCTCCACATAATCCTCACCTAAGATATGAATACTGCTTGTTTTAGTATCAAATTCAACATAGACAGTATCCATATGAGCATGGTTTGTACTGTAACGTTTGGCTTCTTCTATTTTATCGCCATTAACATCAATTTCTTCATGATATAATTTATTCATTAAATCTTTCAGATCTTCCACCAGTTTGTCTTTTGAATCTTTTGGAAGGGTGAAATGTGTTTCTCCATCTGCTTCTTTGACATCACCACAAATCTTCTTCATTTTGTCCTGACCAAAAAGACATTTTAAAGCTCTAAATTTGTATGTCTTCACTGAACATGGTTCTACCTGTACTGGTTGGAGTCCAGTATTTTGGTTATATTTTTTACCATACTTCTCTTGTAACATTATTTTAGCCAACTCAATCTGTTGGGGACAACCTTCTATAAATACTTCACCATTAGTACTCATTGTGTAAACACCTGAAGCTTCCTGTAAACCCTTCTTTAGGGCGTTACAACCCTTGATATGTACGTTCACCCTATGTATCACAGGGGTTAACACCTATAATATAACAATACAATGTTAACTCTAATCTTCATAAAGTGGGAATTCGATCAAGTGGGGTGTATCATTTCATACAGTTATTATTATAATTCCATAGTAGTAAGCACTGTGAATTAATCAGGAACTAACTTTAGGTCCGAGAGAGAGAGAGAGAGAGAGGGAGGGAGGGGTGGGTGTGTGTGTGTGGGGGGGGGTATGCACTCGACATAAACTAGGTCATTTGTGGACCCAGAAAAAACCCACAAGGTTGGACAGGCAACCTCACTCTTTGTCACGTTCAACCGGGAATTCGAAACCAAACAAGTTGACTCAATGACAGACCGTATTTTATAACGCGCACGCGCTAACCATTCGGCCATCCCCTAGGTCCTAAAGCATCCACCAGTGTATGGATAATTAATGGTGGGTGTCATAGAATTAGTATTATAATTCCATGGATGTATGAATGAGCGCTAGGGTGGGTAGCATCTAAATCTAGCTGTTCTAATTATCGGAAATCGTTGAAAATGAATAGGATTCTACACATAAACACTGTGAATTAATTTCAAATCAATCAGGAAATAACTTTAACCTCTAGAGCATCCACAAGATTTCACAAGGTGACCAAGAATAATGTCTCATTTTGCAATTATCAGAAAGAGTCTCATGAACTTAACACTGTGTATAAGTTTCACGTTAATTGGATGATTATTTTGCCTCTAGAGCGTCCACAAAATTTTTAAAACTGATCAAGGGCCATAACTCAGGCAGTAATTCTTGAAAATTGTTGAGGCTTCTTTGTCTCATGACGTTAAACATTGTTCATACATTTAAAGTTAATCAGCAATCGTGTATGACAGACAACAGTGACATCATATGACGGCGACAGACAAAAATATAATTATAAGAATATGCGGTTATAGCAATAATGCATAAAGTCTCTTCATCACTGGTTATTTACATCTGGCTGAAATATAGTTTAGGGAAATGCCCTTTGAAATGCTCTGCTTGCATAAAACCTCATTATATTCTATTTACAGGACCAGGTTTAGGATCCCCTTATGCACACATGGCAGGGTTGATATGGGAGACATATTACCATGGAGAATGCTCACTAGTTCGCGGGTTCACTAGTCCGCAGGTTTATTAGTCTACCGATATCTATTATTAGGGTTGGGTTAGGGTTTGGGTTCATTAGTCCACCGATAGCTATTATTAGGGAAAGGGTTGGGTTGGGTTAGGGTAAGGTTTATTGATACCCATGTATATAGTATTCTTATAGCGGTAGACTAGTACACCCACGGACAAGTGAACCTCTCTCATTACCGCGGTCTCTTTCCTATGCAGTTCATTAGCACACTAGCTGATTTTACAATGAGATAAAACCAAGATAAGACAAAAAGACAGACATGAAAAATTCTTACCTCTTGCGATGCTGGCATATCGATAAACTTAAAAGTTTCATATTTCTTCTTTATTAAAGCACAGGCTTCATCTTTCACTACAATAAATACATAGTTGAAGATAAAACAATATACTTGTTGATGGGATGAAACAAACAAGGTTATGTGTACATGATGGTGTGCTTGTAAAAGAACCCTTGACAGTTGGAATTTGAAATAAGATTAGTCTGTTGCATCGCTCTCAGGTCAAAATTTATCCCCACATCCGACTGTAGGGCACACGCCCATCTTTATTTGCCCAGTTGGTGCAGAAAAGGTGGGACGTTAAACCACATTTCATTTCATTTAAGGAATTCCTTACGGGTTACTGGGTAAGCACCTTGTCTGATTTACTTTTACGGACTTGGAAACTGAAGGGGTTTTTTTCTGCGAAAAAATAGCACAAGATTTTATTGTATATTTGTGACCATATCTCCAACTTTACCTGAGCAATAAGGCTCCTTCCCAAACACAGAATTGAATCCAGGAAATGTTCTCAAAAACGTTACCTGACTTCTGAGATGGTAATGTGTTCTCCATGATTTTCATGTAACTCATACTGCACGTGCTGTTCACCAGGACAGGACCAGTCCTATAAAATGCATCCCTATACCTGGTTGAATCATTCAACTACGTCAGCAGCATGCCACGACTCACGGCAGCTCAGAAGAACCAGGCGCTTGGAAGACTCGACGCTGGCCACACTACCCAAGACGTTGCCAATCACTTTCAGGTCAATGTTCGGACCATCTACAGGCTTCAGCAACGCTTTCGGGCCACCAACACCACGGATGATCGCCCTCGAACTGGTAGACCAAGGGTTACCACAAGGCGACAAGACCGCCATGCTATGCGACAGCACGTGCAGAATCCCTCCACACAGGCATCTGAGACAGCACGTCATACAGTGGGAACACACGGAAGATCCATCAGTACCGATACAGTGCGCCGACGTCTCACAGATGCGTATCAATTGCAGATGGCAGGACCAGAATATGGCGTTGACGTGGCCAGCGTTATTCTGACCAATGTCTTATGGAACGAGACTTATGTGTCGAATCCGCGGATGGGTCCTGTGGTGTTCCAAAAGCTCTGTCCAAGAAGAGGAGGCGGAATCACAACAGTGCGCTACATCGATCAAGCTCTCAGACCCCACGTCATACCACATTTCGCACTTCATCGAAACGTTTTCCAGCATGACAACGCCCGGGCCCACACCGCCAGAGTTACTCGGGAATATCTACAGCAGAACGGTGTCATAGTTATGCACTGGCCAGCCCTTAGTCCGGACTTAAACCTGATTAAACATCTTTGGGATGAAATTCAGAGGAGACTTAATAACGTCGTACCGAGACCAAACACAGCCGATTGATTGCGCCACGCTTTTCTGAGAGTGTGGTTCCAGGTCCCAATGGTTTTCATCAATCGTCTGGTTCACTCTATTTACAGACGTATGTATCAACATACTGTTCACAAAAAATTGCTCTGATCCATTTAGTAAGTACTTTTCTCGAATGATTTGATTAAAGTGCCGCTCTGATTTTGAAATTGTACTGACGGTTTTTTTTTTGCTGTTTAGTATATAATGGTCCATTCTGCCTCATAAACTATTGTCTTTAATATCCGCATAGATTTTTAACAATACAATATAAATATGTTGGACACAGAGAGCATGTCAGTTGATATGACTGGACAACCCCCTTCACAATTTTATTATAAACTAACAGAGAAAATGCTGGATCAATGCACATTTTCATACCTTTTTTGTTTCCAAAAGCCAGAAATGCTTTATATATATTGTCTTGAAATGGTGAAACTACACAAAGAGGTTGAATCTCTGCCTTCAAGTTTGGTACCAACACATTCTTTACATTGGCCATACCAAGTTCTTTGGCGGTATATTCTATAATAACACATCTTGATTCGTGGGAACCATGTCTATAGTAAACATATGTAAGATATAATTCTGACTAGAAACCAGAACCAGATATCCTAATTCTACCAGATATTCCCCCCCCCCCCCAACAGTCTCAATTTTGATCTTCGAAGTAATTATTAGTGAGCAGAAATTCGTCCGTGTATCTGTTATCACTCGTCACTTCATTACTTTCGTCATTTCCGTTTTTATACGCCCACATTTTCATGTGGACGTATATTGTCGCCCCTTTCCGTCTGGATGTCCGTCCGTCCGTCCACAATTTGTTTGTGGGCACTCTACAGGTCACAATTCTTATCCGATTTTGACGAAACTTGAAATATAGGTTTATCACCAAAGGATCTCGGCTGCTTTCGATATTGGCATGGATCGGATAGAAACTTCATGGATCATGGGCCCTGTTTGTGAACCCTATAGCTTGTGGACCCTATAGAGGTCACAATTTTTATTCGATTTTGTTGAAATGTAAGTTTATAACCCTCGGTTCCTTTCGATATTCGCGCATATCGGACCGTAACTTCCTGAATTATGGCCCCTGATTGTACGAAATGTCGCGTTTTTAGCTTGTTGAGCCTATAGAGGTCATAATTTTTATCCGATTTAAAAAAACGTATTATTATCTCACCCAAATCGGCCCAACATTGACAGACAAAATAGCCGCCGTTCGTTCTCAAATAGCGTAAAAATATGGTATATCAAGGGTGTGGACCCTATAGAGGTCACAATTTTGATCCGATTTTGATGAAACTTGAAATACATATTTATAACCGAAAGATCTTGGCTCCGTTCGATATTCGCACATATTGGATCATAACTTCCTGAATTATGATTGTACGAAAAGTCGCGTTTTTAGGATGTGATCCCTCTAGATTTAAAAAAACGTTTGAATATATCACTGTTACACCCTTATGATGGTTGAGTCCGAATTCCGTACAAATCGAACCAAAACTACCGGAAAAAATGGCTGCCCCTCGTACGCAAATATTGTAAATATATGGCATATTAAGGTTTTGGACCCTCTAGAGCAGTGATTCTCAACCAGTGTGCCGCGAGATCTTCCTAAGTGTGCCGCGAAATTTTGAACGGTACACTAAGAAAATGCGAAAAATCACTCCCAATTTGAGTATTCACTGGTGTCTACTGGTAACTTCGTAGCTGTGTTTTTCATTATTTAGTTTGAGTCACTCTATGTGATTATGACTAGTCCGTGTGTACGGTTGTATGCCGTCTATGACTTGCCATGTTTTTATTTTGTAAAATTCAAATATTTTTCATATATATCTAGTCAGGTGTGCCGCTATTTTTTCATATGTTCCAAAGTGTGCCGTTGGCAAAAAAAGGTTGAGAACCACTGCTCTAGAGAGAGGACTCAATTTTGATCCGATTTTGATGAAACTTGAAATACATGTTTATAACCCAAAGATCTTGGTTCCTTTCAATATTCATGCATATCGGATTGTAACTTCCTGAATTATGGCCCTTGATTGTACGAAAAATCACATCTTTTTTTGAGCTCGTTCTCTGTCCATCTCTTGCAAAATGTGGGCGTATCTTGCATGACAACCGCTTGTTTTGAAACCTTCATTAGGATACGCATCTATTGTAGCACTGAACTCTGTGTTAAAATAATATTTGGAACGTGTTTAACCAGTTCTATCACATATGTGATAATGACTGACACCAATTTTATCCTTACAACTTTATTCGGAGAAACCATGGATGCAAGTTATAGAGAGAAACAATTCGGATGTAAATAACGAACAGAAAGATAACAATCTGGATGTCAGCTGCTATATGAGAGATAACAAATTGTACCTAAATTACGAACAGAGGGATAGCAATTTGGATGTAAACTGCTAGTTGAGAGATAACAATTTGGATCTACGAATAGAAAGATTTGCATTTGAGCTACTAGCTGAGAGTTAATAACCTGATATAATTATAGACATGTTAAAATTGCTAGATCACCATTATAGTTCTAGTTTACCTTTTTTCAATAGCACAAGATCGAATAGAAGCCATATTTTCTGAAAATAAAACGACATGAAAATGACAATCAGACGTACATAGGAGATCTATCTTGTGTTAATTTTACATAGTGGGGTTGATTCCAGGTTTCTATGTTGACACAATATGGCCTGTTTTTTTGAATAGAAAACCTCAGCTACCATTCGTCAGTCTTATGATATCTGTATGGGGTTGCTTTCACATAATCGCAAAGCAATGCACAATAATAAAACTAAACGTAAGTGAACTACAATGATAAAAACTAAACTTAAGACAACTGCATAATAATAAACTTAGATATGATAATGATATCAGACTGGGGTTGACTCTATAGTGGGAGATTAACTAAGGCCTGAGTTTGCTTACAGATAAGACATATCTGCTGTGACCACCATACAAGGTTTCCAAATCTGACTTACAAAGCATGTTAAATTAAAGCAATAAGTATAGCATAAACTTTCAAATCAATTCTAGATTGTGCAGTTAGATTTTTCGAAAACCCCGGCATTTCAAATTTAGGGACAGTAATTCTAATTTTATATTGAAAAATATAGCAACGGATAGATGTGTAAAATAACTTAATTCATTAAAACAATACCGGTATTGATATTTATTACCTTCTCTTCTTTTGCTGGAAACATCATCCACGGTTACAGGTATCTAAATATAAACACAAACATATTACGTCATTAAAGATACGCTTACATTTTTATTGAGACGGATGAAAAAAATGGAAAATCGATAAGGCTCATTGTCTCAATGCTACACATGTAGCCACTGTCGATTTTCCGAAAGTGGGGGGGGGGGGACGTAAAACTGGTTAAAAGCTAAAACCTCTTTTCACGTAATTCAAACTAATTCATGAACATATATTTGAACAGTATTATAAATCTATTAAAAATCTGTTGACATCTAGCTAAACAATCAGGGGCTATTATCCGGGATCAATGACAATATGTGCCAAAATCTCACCAGAACAGATAATATTTGTGAACCGTAGTGTCCACAAACAACTGTTAACATACACAGATGAAAGCGTAAGTCCAAATGAACATTCTCGACTTGGATAATACCTGTACTATCATAACAGGTGCACAATATACATAATGCCAGAAACAGGAAACCAAGTCGTATTGGACAGGGAATCCAACCACGACCTAGGCTTGTTATGGGTAAATGTGTTTGGTTATTGGGATACGCTGAGGTTTTACCCCCAAGTTACTGATAGCCATAGCATTTTTTGTAATATACTCTTCAAAAAACTTAAGGGATATTCAGAAACAATACAAAACTGCGGTATTAAACTGCTGTTTTTATTAGAAGTAACCAGTGTATGTGAATAACAGGCCAATTTCCTACACATGAACATAAACAGTTCATATGAGCGCAGGCCGGTAGCCAGCTTGCTAGTTTCGTAGGGGCAGTGATGTTTTTTTTTTGGGGGGGGGGGGGGCACACCTGGCACGGTCTACAGTAGGTATTTTAGAGCTATGGTCAGCAATTTATTTTCGGGGGGGGGGGCAAAACATTTTTTCGGGGGGGCATTGCCCCCCCCCCCTTGCCCTCCTCTGGCTACGAGCCTGTATGGGCGGCTTATCTGACGGCCCCATTTCACTCGCAAAGAGCTACACTGTCAAAAGTGAAAATGGACGTTTTTGATTTTTGTCTTAATAATGAGTAATTGCTCCATCAATCCTCAGACATTCAGCAATTCGTCGTGGCATGCTCCTAATCAACCGCCCAATCATCACGATTTGGGACAATCTGACCCACTCCTCTTGCAGTGCCACGACCAATTCTTGCAGTGTTGTCGGTTGACGTTGGCGTCGACGAACACGTCTCCCGATCAAATTAAACGCACGCAAGCAAAAATACGCTAAACAGTAAACCTTATGCAAGAACCGATAGGAAAGCATGTCAAATTCGACAATGAACCCCTCCCACCCACGTATATGACGCGATTGCGTGTCGCACATGCAGCTCAGTGGTTCCGTTATGGCGATAAGTTCTTCTTTTGTGAACATACTCTCAAAGCATGTCAAGTGTCCATGACTATTTATCATATACATACCTGCATAGGTATTTGCATTACAGTATCCCCTACTTTTTTGAAGAGTATATATGTTTTTAGGAGAAATGTAAAATGATGTACTCCTGATATTTTCCTGACCTTCTATACATATACATCTCTTATCTCTGACACAATTTACCTCTTTTTTTTTGATAATATTATAGATTGCTCTTTCTATCTTCTTTTTCTTTAATTTATCTCCAGCTATTTCTATATTAACTCTATGAATAGTATCACCTGCCATTCTTCCTACAATAAAGATAGTAAGGCAAAGCGTGGAATATGCTCACACAGCAGCTTTGTTTCAACTGCAGCTTATCCGAAAGGAAAACTGTGATGTTCAACAAATGTAATGACCCCTTCACATGGGGTGGGGGGGGGGTATGGAAGCGTATCGCTGCCAATATTTACAAGATTTTTTGAAGTGATCAAGGGTCATAACTCTGGCAGTATTTATCGAAAATCGCTGAAAATGAATAGACTTCTACGTCTCAAGACTTTAAACACTGTGTATAAATTTAAATTGGTATGGAAGAGTATCGCTGCCAATATTAAAGCTCTGCTACAATGTCTTTTCCATTGATTATATGTAAAAGTACAAAGTCCTAATACTGGTAATGATAAAGTCAAAATACCCCTAAGGCAAGAGTTTAATGTCAAATGTTAAGTGTTAAATGACAAATGTTTTGTGGAAATTGCTTTATTTTTGACGTGTCTACATTTTACATTTCTCTCATTAAATTTTACATTTACGCTCTGCCACACCCCATTTGTCCTTCACGCTTTGTACATAGTACCTTTCGCACAGCATCAATTTTGATATGTAGGATATCACGTGACTTATTAATCTATACGGAAACCTGGCACATTATAAACCAGCACACTATAAGGATATTCACCGCACGATAACAGTAAAGAAACCCGACAAAAAAACATGTCTCGATTTCTTTTTGATCTCAGAAGAATTACTCTCAACATTAGATAAGATACTCATTTATCCTGGCTACAGAACTGATCATTCCATTACAGTATTACAATTGAAGATTTCAAAATTTGAGAAAGGTAAAGGATTTGGGTGCTTTAATGGCTCTTTACTGAAAGATCACGAATATGTTCTCAAAGTAAAAGAAGTAATTACTGAAACAAAACCAGAATATGCTTAATATGTTTAAAAAATAAAATAAATATGTTAGAAGATTACTATCAATCTTCTGATTCAAAATTAATACTAGAGACCCTAATACTAGGGACAAATAATACGATCAAGGGTTAAATGGATAGAGGACAGGGAAAAACCAAGTAAATATTTCTGCAATTTAAAAAAAAAAGAACTATGTGAATAAAACTGTTACAAAATGCATAAATGAATCAGGAAAAAAATTACTGATCAAAATGAAATTCTTCAGGAAATTAAATTATTTTATGCTAACCTTTATAAAAATAGAGACGATATATTAGAGGATGTTAATCTAGATCAATTACTAGATAAATACGAAGTCAATAAACTTTCAGATCTTGAGTCGTATAGTATCGATTGAATCATAACGAAATCAGAAGTATTAACCGCCTTGAAAAACAACAGAAGTCCTGGAACAGGTGGATTCTCTGCCGAATTCTTTAAACAAATTTGTTCCGATTTAGGGTATTTTTTAAGTTAGGTCCTACAACCACAGCTTTTATAAAGAAATACTACCAATTACTCAAAGACAGGGAATCATATCCATACTACCAAAAGTAGGCACACCGAGAGAATCTCTAAGAAACTGGCGTCCAATTTCACTGTTAAATATAAGCTACGAAATCTTAACGGGTAAATATTTTTACCAAAACTGATAAGCAAAATGCAAACTGGTTTTATTGCAGGTCGGTACATTGGAGAAAACACCAGACTTTTATATGATATTATGCATGAAGTAACTGTAAACAAAAAGAGCGGTCTTTTAGTCGATTTTATGAAAGCTTTCGATAGTATATCATGGAAATTTATGAAAAGGTATTGATTTATTTCAAGTTTGGAAAAAACTTCAGAAAATGGATCAATATTATACTAAATGATGTGCAGCTCTGTGTGTGCCAAAACAAATTTTATTCGTCTTTCTTTAGTATATCAAGAGGATGTAGGCAAGGTGGTCCAATATTTCCATACCTGTTTATTCTGTGTGCCGCAATAATGAGTATAATGTTTAGAAATAATACCCTCACAAAAGGGATTAAAATAAAGATACCGAATATAAATTTGACAATATACAGAGATACAACCATCTTTTTGGATGGACCAATCAAATTTCTAAAAGATAGGTTGCCAGGCAACGAAACATACGCACACAGCAGCTAAATCGTCCGGGCAGTCAGCAAGAGTTGTCGCATATTTTTAATTTTCGGTAATGAAACATTTATAATACACTAAAATCTGATTATAAATTTAAAGTCAATCGGATATTAACTTTTGCCTCTAGAGCGTCCACAAGATTTTTCAAAGTGATCAAGGGCCATAACTCTGGCAGTAATTATCGGAAATTGCTAAAAATCAACATGATTCTTCGTCTTTTTACCTCAAAAAATGTGTATAAATTTAAAGTCAATCGGACATTAAATTTAGCCTCTAGAGTATTTACAAGAATTTTTGAAGTGATCAAGGACCATAACTCTGGCAGTAATTATCGGAAATCGCTGAAAAACAATAGGATTCTTCATCTCATGACCTTAAACACTGTGTATAAATTTTATGTTAATCGTATATTACCTTTAACCTCTAGAGCACCCCTAAGTTTTTTTTAAGTGATCAAGGGCCATAACTCTGGCAGTAATTATCGGAAATAGCTGAAAATCAATAGGCTTCTTCGTCTCATGACCTTAAACACTGTGTATAAATTTAAAGTCAATCTGATATTCATTTTGACCTCTAGAGCGTCCACAAGATTTTTTGAAGTGATCAAGGGCCATAACTCTGGCAGTAATTATTGGAAATCGCTGAAAATCAATAGGTTTCTTCGTCTTGTGACCTTAACACTGTGTATAAATTTAAAGTCAATCGGATATTAACTTAAAGTCTCTAACTCAATATCATCCAAAACCTTCGACATTGAAAACACGATTGATTTGTCGATTTAAACCAACATTGATGTTGTGATCCTACCGGGAAAAGATGGCCTTCTGATATCCAATATTTAAGACAAAATAAACATTTTACAATTGTTACACGAATCGTGTACCATAATGCGTTTCAGCGCTATTTGTAATAAGAGACTCGAAAAACGAGGCTAGGCATATTCCACGAGTCATGTCAAACGGTGAGGCTATATTCTTATCTAGAGGGTATGCCCAATAAAAACTATCGGCGTAGACTGGAAAAACCAGACGCTAGAGGTTGAAATTCGATTGAGAATACTGGCGTATTTCGCCGAACCTAACTGATTAGAAATTACAGTAAAACAGAAATGATTGAATGTAAATCAATTTATATACACTCATATTACATTATTGCATGTGTTGCGACCCATTTGTGTCAATTTCTAGGTCGGACGGACGGACATACGAGGTCAAAGACAATGTACGACGACATTTCAAAACCAAAAAGCGAAATCAAATGGGAATCAATCATATTTGATGAAAATATAGGTGATTTGTGACAAAATATCAATTGTTTAGCTTCTAAAATAACTAAATACACCAAACTTATCTGGTTACAATATAGGATTATCCATAGGATTCTGAGTACTAATCAATATCTTAAAAAAATGGGTATACAAGAAAATGATAAATGTACATTTTGTACAAATTATGTAGAAACAATCACTCACATATTTGTCGAGTGTGGAAAACTTGAAAAGTTATGGAAAAATTTTCTTAATTGGTTGGATTCGATCATGAATTCCGACCTATCCTTATCTCCTGTGCTTATAATATTCGGGAAATTTAAACCATGTAATAAGCAAATTAACATACTCTTGTTAATCATAAAAAACTACATTTATAAAATAAACTATTAAACCAAACAATATCCCTAGACCGTATCACAAGAGAAAAAGATACTACCGAAAACTTGAAAAATACAAATACAAAATGAATTTGAATTATGAGACATATATAGACAAATGAGGCTATTATGAAGCTTTGTTTGCTGAATGATCACTATTTGATGACCCATAGTCCAGGCAAGATAGGAAAAGTGCGGGCAGTTGCTGCAATAGAAATGCCGAGCACGGTTTATGGTCGGTCTAGACGTATATTATCACCAAAAAAAAGTCCAAGTCCGAAATCCGTGCCCAAATGAATCAAATTGGCCAAAATCCAAAATAGCCGCCGGTTTTGACTGGGAAATGCCAGTTTTTATCCACTTATCATAATATGATCGAGTTTGGTATCAAAATATATCCTTTCGGGGTAGCTGGATCCATTTCCATACACATTTTGTTGATTAGTTATACCGCGGTCAGTTTTGGCTGGAAAATTCGAATTTTACAAAATTACAATATTTGGTGTCAAAATATATGTTCTGGAGGCAGCTGATCCCTTTTTGACACATTTTTTCATCTTGGTAATTAACTAGTTCCCCTGGGTCAAAATATGTGGAAATCCCATTGGAGATTTGGAGATTACGAGTGGTCGAGTCTGCCTCAGATCTAATACGATGGCTTCTTTGATTCCTTAAGTGATAATTCGATTTCCGTGTACAAAGTTCAGAACATAACACTTACTTAAGAACGCGAAATCCCCCTCCTATCTCAGATAAGAAGGAGGTGCAAGAAGTACGGATATTATATAAGACGGCTCTAGCAGCTGAGACTGATTTAGTTGATGACCCTAAAAGCTCCCAACGTCCATTCTGTTTCAGAAAAATACAGCCTGTAGGATTCGTCATAGTCTTTATATTGTGGAATCTTCCAGACGGAGCGTCAATTTCATTATTTTGTGTTCCAGTTAAAGATGTCAGAAGTCCTGGAAAATCGTACGACCTACTCACTAAGTGCCATTAGAAGACGCCTTGATGTGAGAGTTCTTGAATCCCGTATTCGTCAACTTTCTACACCACTGCATACATCACTACAAGTTGATACCATTATTCCTTTGATCAAGCAATGTCTGGAATCCACATATTTCACATGGGGAAAAAACTATTATGAATAGATCCACGGTTTACCGATGGGAGTCCTTTATCCCCGCTATTTCCGAAATTTACATGATTTCACTTGAAGAAAAAGCCATTCTAACCACCCCTTTTCATGTTCTGGTTCAGAAAGGTGATGCTGTCGTTCTCCTAAATCACTTGAACAACCAACATCCAAGAATGAAGTTCACATTGAAGTTCACAATGGAGAATGAAACCAACAATAGCCTCCCATTTCTGAATGTAATGGTAAGAAGAGAGAACTCAAATGTTACCACCTCAGTGTACAGAAAACCAAAATACACGGACCAGTATATCTGCTAATCACCCCAAAGCATAAAAGCAGGCAGTATCACCACCTTAACTAAAAGCGCCAAAACATGTGTGACCCTGAATACCTCATCCTGGAATAACAAGACATAAACGACGGCTTCATCCAACACAACGGCCATCAAGAACAAATTGTAAAAAGTTCATCAACGCCACATTATCAAACCTTCCAAAACCTGATAAACCAAAAAATGATAAACCCCTAATACGAGTTATTGAAAACAGAAGCAGAGATAGAAACCACATTCCTCAAAGGCGGAATAACAAAAGAGTTAGTAAATGCTAATGGAAAGTCAAACCCCACAAAGCCTATCTTACCGAAAGGCTGTGTCTATGCGAATTTCACTGTTGTTGTGAATTCAAACGACTTTTAAATCTAAAGGGGATATGTCACCCCCCCCCCCACCACCACCACCACCACCACCTCCACCTCCAACCTCCAACCAATCTACTGTTTTGATCGATAACCCACGACATCGAGTCAGCTGGACCAAAATAAACCGCCATAACAAAAGAAACTTAACAATACAAGAACCAACCAACATCAACATCGACATATCCTTATAATCATCTTAACAATATACTTACTACTCTCAAGCCAAAGATTTATATAGTTAAAAGCAGCATACGCTTTAAAGGATCAAAACTATGGAATTTGTTGCCACCCTCTTTAAAAAACTTTAAATAACTTGAATCTTTTCAGGAATAAACCTCTTTTACCTTAAATCTACACCAAATATATTATCCCCAAAAAGCATGTACATGTTGTACATTTGTTGATACATGATATATCTATTTATTCAAACTTTCTGTTTTATGAACTCGCATATATACTTAAATTAATCTTTTAAGTGATTTGTATATATTTTCCTCTATTGTAAATGATTGCGGTGTGTTTTTTAATGCACCAGTCTATATCTTTTGTAATATATTTTCTATGAAGGGCAGGATTTTAGAAAGACTATTATAGCCTGATCTTCAACCATTCTCAAATAAAGTCATTATTATTATTATTATTAACTGAACTAAAACCGAATCGAGACCCAGGCGTTTACATCCGTAGTTTTTTCTTTGATGTGCATAGCAGTTATATCTCATATGAACCTGTCTTGACGTCATCATAGATTCATATATTCGGTTCATATGAACCGCTATTAACGTCATCACGGGTGGATATATTCGGCTCATATGAACCGCTATGATTGTTATGGTACAGTTTGTAGGTAGCATTCAGCATCGAAAAGGACGGCGTACTTATCGGCATATTTTTTAGATTGGTTATCCATGCTCAATGTCTAAGATATCTGTCAGAATTTTCCTTCCGTCCACATTTCAATTATTTCTCCAAATATTTGTCGCCAAAGGGTTCCTTTGTAAAGTATTTTTGGGTACAGTCCACTTAAAACAGTTGGTCAAATTCACTGTCAGAATTATCGGAAAAGATTGCCTTTTGATCTAAATTTTCTTCAGGCATTGTATATGTAGGACAAAAACCTTCTCTACCTCGGATTGATATGATAGAGAACATGCGGGCAAATACAACCCCAGATCTTTTAATGTAACTCCCCCATGTTTAACCTATATGCTTCCTGGCATTATCCAATCAACTAAATGAGCCCCCAGCTCCGAGAGCCGAGCTATATAATACCCGTACAACTTCTTATCTGAGATAGAAGGTGATTTCGCGTTCTTAAGTTACTGTCATGTTCTAGTGGACTAATAGTGAAACTTTCACCGAAACAATTAATGTTGTACGCGGAATTTGAATTGGGGGGGGGGGGGGGGGCGTAAAACACCAACTTCAAGTAATCCATCACTACAAAACAAATGTTAATAAATAATTTACCTTCTTTTATTCTAGATAAATTCTCGGCACAGAATACCTGGAAAAAAAAATTTAAGAGATATTTAAACAATTGTTCACGAAATAGAGAGAGAGAGAAATGGGTTTTAACGTCCACTCGACACAAACTAGGTCATTTCGGGACTAACATATGGTTTAATTTTATTTCAATAATTCGCTTGCGCGTAGTGGTCTTTAGCAGTGGGAGGAAACCGGAGGACCCGGATAACCCACGAGATTGGACAGGCGACCCTACTGGTTGTCACGTACAACCGAGGATTCGAAACCACGCCAGTTGACTCAATGACAGGCCGTATGATACAGCACGCACGTGCTAACCATTCGGCCATCCACCCCCCCCCCCCCCCACACACACACACACACACCCGTTCACTAAATAGATAATAAATATGAAACTATATATTTGATACTCTCAAGTCGTTATAAAACATTTACATTCATGTGATATAAATACTTATTACCTAATAATACATTCTACAGTAGATATCGCTTGTGTGATAAATTCCATAATCTACAGGGATGTCTCCTAGGAGATGTCGCTTTACATGAATTTGATTGGTCAATCCAAAAGGAACTAATTTTTTTATTTTCAAAGAACAGTTCATTTTTTATTAAATGTAACTTCTTTCTTATTATAAAGGAACTATTTTTATTTAATTGGCCTTAATGGAATGACTGGGTCAATATAAAGGTCTTTGCAATGGTTGAGTTGCCGTGAAAAAATGATGTATCACTACGCCGTAATGTAATCAGGTTCAGTAAAAGTGAAATTTATAGCAAAGAATTATATTTATTTACTAGCAGGATACCCGGCTTCGCTGGGGGATCATAACTCCGAAACTGGAAGTGGTAGACTAACGCCACCTGGCCTATGTTACTCCCCGGTCCGAGCTACCCCTATACCCCAAATTTCAGACTCGGGGCAGACCTAGTGTAGCCGCCAACCCCGAACAGACCGGCTTCGCTCGGGGGTCATAACTCCGAAACAGAAAGTGGTAGACTAACGCCACCTGGCCTATGTTACTCCCCGGTCCGAGCTACCCCTATACCCCAAATTTCAGACTCGGGGCAGACCTAGTGTAGCCGCCAACCCCGAACAGACAGACAAACGACAGTCACAAATATATATATATAGATTTATGCATGTAAGAAGGGATTGGGTAATAAATAAAATCTCCTACTCGTCTTTTTTGATATCAAAATATATCAACACTCGTCGATAAAGTGAAAAAAAAAACCCTCGTGTTATCTACTTGTGTTGATATTTTTTGATATCAAAAAAAGACTCGTAGGAGATTCTCTATATACTCTGTCAAAAAAGAATTGGATATATAGTGACGGGTATTTAAAGCTGCAATGCTTGCAATGATGTCGGATTTCATTTCGCCGTAGTTGCGGTACAAGATGTCAAGACTATGTTCGCCGAATAGAAACATTGCAGTAAGTAGATGAATTGCGGTAAGCAATCACAAGCCATTTGAACGTCCACGAGAGCACTCCTCCACACCTCTTGGACATGTTTCAATCAGTACAATACCGGTGGAAGACCTCTGCAGGACAAGATCACTAAATTTGGGTTTTGCAACGAACATTTCTGGACGCGTGCCAGTTATGAGAAGGATGTCTGCACAAACAATGGGGAAATAATTTTGAGAAGCTGATTTACCGGCTAGGATAGCGTATTTTGGACCTTTTATGTAACGTCAACATCGACGTTTACGAGCAAGAATGTACAGGGGTGGGACTTGGGACACTGGTGGTGAGTATGGTTCAGCGACGAGTCACGTTTTCATTTACAACGGTGTGATAGAGGACAACGTGTGTACCGTAGGCATCGCAATGAATGTTTTGCTAACAACTGTGCCTCGCAAGCTGACAGATTCGTTAATGTATGTGTGGGGGTGGGGGTGTTAGGGTGGTCCCCTGACCCCCGGGAAAAATAGTGAGTCTCAAAATAAGTGTTGTCACTACAGTCGATCTCAAAATTAGGGATCGGCAACTAAATGAATTAATGAGGTAAACAAACAATGCCAAAATAGAAGGGAAAAATCCCGAATACTTAATATATGTATGAATATATCGGTGTATTTGACTTCACAATCCGCACCAAAGATTCACGTAGTTTCCATGTATGGAGGTTATGGTTAAATTACGTGATATAAGGTCAATTAGGTGATTTGCGGATGATATTCAATACATGTATTTAGCAAACTAAAATATCTTCTGAAGTTTCCTATACGTTTATTTTTTTTTCATATTCCTTAGGCTCAAAACCAAACGAAACTAAAATACTTTGAATTTTATTATTTTAATTTGCGCCGAGTATGCTGACCTCAATCACATTGCCAGAAATATTCAGCATAAACCTAGCGGACATCAGAATTTTCGAGACGATTCATAGAACATAGTCTCTTTAGACTGTAGGCTGTGCCGTGCCGTGTGCACGAGTTGAATTCTTGCAAAATTCTTAATAAATAACACGAATTCCCATGCGCAGTAGTACTACTCAATTTTACGCATGTTATATGTGTTTATGACCATCAGAATTCTGCAAAATCTTCTCCAATAGTTCCGGAAATGGCAATCCCTAGAAAACGCGTGGCTGTGTCACTCGTGCATCTGTCGGTTCATTTTTGCTAAACACTTCTGCTCCAAAACACAAAATCGATGTGTACGACCTTGGCCATATCCTAAACCGGCAGACGTGACCTTGTGTTCTTACAGCGCAACCTTACAGGTGTATGTTTCCTGGGTGAAATTCTTCACCGTCACATGCTTCCCATTTTGGATAGATATAGAGAACTCTTTCAGCAGAACATTTCCAGGCCGTATGCAGGAGTAACAGTGGATTTTCTACAGAATGACATTAATATGCTGTTATGGCCATCAAGATGACCAGACAGAAGCCCCATTGAATATCATTGGTGCCGCAACACATGCACTATGCCAAGTGCATGTCTATGCCAAGAAGCTGTAAGGCAGTGATTGATGGTCATGATGACTACACAGGGTACTAATTTTAATGCCCTTCTGCAACAATGTTTCGTTACGCAAATGCCTCTAGTGAAATCGGTCCATATCAAGAATATAAGGTGATATAAATATACAAACCTCCTTAGATCGTGTACCATGCTCATGTATTACTATCATCACGTGACATAAAGATGTGTCGTTATGGAATTTAAAGAATTCATCAATTGTTTCCATCATGCTCTTGGCTACTAGGTTGACCGGATAACCGACATGACCCATACAAAGAACTGGAAATGCTATACTCGCCAACTTCTTCTCAGATACTTCTCGTAAACATGCATTCACCATTAACGCCACCCTCTGTCAATAAGAAAGGGATAATAATAATTAGGAATATGTCTAATGGAACTAAATGAATAAATTAGCCAATATAAGTTTTCAAGATTGTATTACATCTACTTATTTTGTACCGTTACGTCAAATAAAATAAAAAATGCCCCATAAATGATTGTCACCTAGGTGTTATTGAACAACATCAGACAAAAGCCACCATCATTAAGTTTTTCTTTGATTGTAAAAACCCAATGTTTTTGTATGATTTCTGTGTTTTGAAGAGCAATGGCAGAAGAAATTCCTCTCTAGCCATTGTTGCACTTGGAGCCGAAACTTGAGGGGTTTTAATAAGTGTGTCTATTTTTATTGTCCAAGTTGCCTTTTACGACACGCAGGAAATACGAAGGGCATATTCGTATCACCCCCTACACCCCAGGGGTAAAATGTGATCAGCTTCTAGTTCTAACTAGTGGAAACACAAACAAACCCCATTTTTTTTATCTTTTCTATTCATCTTTCTGATGAAAATATCACGGCCAAATTGACTAAAAGGTGCAATTTATCACATGTGACAATAAAATAGCTTGTGACTTTTTTCCGGTTTAATATGTTGAGCAATGTAATCGTATAATAAAGGATTTATAATATTTTATATAATATATTATTAGCTACTCACGTCATGGTAGTACGAAAATCGTTTATTTCTCGTGTCATGGTAGTACGAAAATCGTTTATTTCTCGTGTCATGGTAGTACGAAAATCGTTTATTTCTCGTGTCATGGTAGTACAAAAATCGTTTATTTCTCGTGTCCTATATATAACTGGTAGAGCGAAATTGTCACTCATTTCACTAGTTATACTTACTATTATTGGGGATGAAGAGTCAAATCTGTATGGTGGAACATTCAATTCAATTTTATATTGAACTGGTTTATCCGAAACTTTTACTGTTTTAATATCATATCTGTGTGGAAGTGTCTGACTCTCTACTACATCAACAATTACATCAACCTTTAAATATATGAAAAACAATCAATTAAAATTCATTTCTTTCAGCTTCAGTCAGTTATTTAAGCATTACAGGGAAATGGGCTTACACATTGAAAATGATACGAAATTGAGGCCCAACTCCCAACTTCCACACATTGGGTTCGGAGCAGAACAGTAGGACGTTAAACCCCATTTCATTTCATTTCATTTCATTTCCACACATTGGTTCATCGGGATTTTCCGACGTGGTTTCCCCTTGGTGCAGTACGGGATGGGGGGGGGGGGCTGTCAAGGACGGCTATCCAGTACAATTTCCCTCATAACGCACTGTATGGCATATGTCTGTCTTCATTAGCTCAGTCGGAACAGAACAGTAGGACGTTAAACCCTATTTCATTTCATTTCCACACTTGGTGTTTCTACGTACGCCTGTGGCTGCTACTACTTACTACATAGAATAGCCCATTCTTTTAGTGTGAATAACTACTGTACAACAACTCGATGTCCTGGTAATATCCTATGTAGAATTAGGAGAGGTGTATGGTTTTGTATTACCTCTGTCATGGAACTACTCCAATGAAGAACATAAGCGTCGCTATCCAAATGTATGTCCGCATCTGCTTTGACATATCATGTTTCATTTGCTTTGCACAAAAGAGACCAACAAATTACCAAATAAAAATAACAGTAAAGTCAGACGGGTATTCGTAGTAATAAAGTTGGAATATAAAGTACAAATTGTTATATTTTATTTCATATTTCGAATGATGTTCTCGGATTCTTGAATTATGGCACCTAGTGAGTGATTCCATGAGAACCATACATAACACCAAAATAAAAATATTCATTTATGACTTCTTAATTTATAACACTGTATAAATACATAGATGATGTTGTATATCTTCTTGGGGATCACGTGGCTAAGTGGGTAAGACGCTGGCTCGCTAGCCTGGAGGTCGGGTGTTCGATCCCTGCATTGGCCGAGAAAGTTCATCCAGATTTTCCGGCTTGGTTCCCCCGTGTCAGTAATGCAGGACGAAGGGCCTGACAAGGACAGCTGTCTAGTCCTTCGGATGATACGAAAAACCGAGGTCCCGTGTATACATTGGAATGCACGTAAAAGATCCCTTGGCAGTTGGAATTCGATATAAGAGTAGGCGATAGTGCCGCTGCCCGGACAAAATTTCCCTCATAGCACACTGTATGGCGTATGCCCGTCTTCATTAGCCCAGTATAGGAGCAGAACAGTAGGACGTTAAAACCCCATTTCATTTCATTTCGAATGTATCTTAAAGTATTAGAACAAAATAATCACTTACTTACCTTTTGATTGTTTATCTGACCAATTTTCATTTCAATATAATGTCCTTTACACGGCTGATGATGTTGTACATCTTCCAATGTATCTTAAAGTATTAAAATTAAATAATCACTCTTACTCATCTTTTGATTGTTTATCTGACCAACTTTCATTTCAATATAATGTCCTTAGCGAAAAAAAAAATAGTATAAACATTGGAACAATCCCAAACTAACAACTCTAATGGTGCAACTGTTTAACAAGCATCCTCTTGTCGTTATTAAGAACAAGGTAAACAATAAAAGAAACGTTGAACCATTAAAGTTGCTAGTGATTGTATGTCAATACTACAACTACTATAATACCGTGTCTCTACTGAATATTTCACAGATTGGGTACGAGCAAGAAATTAGAATAAGTTCTATTCTAAACATCTTGTAGACCAGGAGCCCAGTGGGTTAACCTAGCTGAAAAGTGTACCAATTTTCTCCTATATCACATCAATGCATGTATATCTGGTATCATCAGAATGTAAGTCTGTCGGGTTTCTGGTGGTGGGTGTGGTATTCAACGCCCAAAATGCTATACCCCCCAACTAGGTTAGATTAGCTCAAAAGTGTACCACATGAAAATCGTACAGCAGTGTACCGTACATCTTCAGGTAATACAAAAACACTCTGACAGACATTTCTAGTGGTGGGTTACTCCTGACAGAGCTATGTAATTGCAAGACATTTGTAGTGGTGGAGTATCCTTGACAAGAGTTATCTAATTTCCAGACCACAGCTAGGCTAGATTAGCTGAAATCTGTACCACCTAAAACAGCTTTGGAGTTGTTCAGTAACACGACAAGAATCATGAATGACCACTGCCAGACAATTTGTGCGGTGGGTAACCCCTAACAGACACACCCAAAAATGCCACGTCCACAACTAGGCTAGATTAGCGGGCACTGTTCCCGTGTTTTAAAAAATTAAAAATACTCCACCACTACAAATGTCTGACAATTACATAGCTCTGTCGGGGGTACCCCACCACTAGAAATGTTTGTCAGCATGTTTTTGTAATACCTGAAGATGTACGGTACATTGCTGTATGATTTTCACGTGGTAAACTTTTGAGCTAATCTAACCTAGTTGGGGGGCATTGCATTTTGGGCGTGGAATACCACACCCGCCACCAGAAACCCAGCAGACGTACATTCTGATGATACCAGATATACATGCATTGATACCATATAGGAGACAAATGGTACACTTTTCAGCTAGGTTAACCCCCTTGGCTCCCGCTCTATTATTCAGTATTATAAAGAGGGATCACCATTATCTGATCATATTTATTTTTCTGCTCTCTTTGGATGTTTGTAAACACACGTGTAACTAAATATAAACATGATATTTTAGAGTCTTGTTTGATAGCGCTACTCATACTCTGCTTTAAGTGAATATTAATGTTGGAAATCCCACCTTGACCTCCATATTTCAATTCACCCTTCTCAAACAGGGTTTGCAAGAGATAACAATTAACCTGTGGCCTTGATTTCATTGGTAAATAAATCCTTTTGGTCAAATTTTTACAAGCTCTATAGAAAAAAGAAACTGTTTCTTTCTTCGTGGTTTTATCCATTAGTAATATTAAAGTTTTGTATCTTCCATTCTTAACACGGTCTTCTAAATGTCGCTTTGAATGATCTGGCATGATCCTGTAATGTGCCAAATTATCACTACTTTGCTGCCCAGATTCATCTGTAAGAAAGAAAATCAGAAAGTGAATACTGAATATAGTCAATAAACAGGACTCAATATTGAATGTGATGCTCTCTACCAAACAATTTGTTTAAGGGTATGCCCTTTCAGTTAGTGATTGATCAAATTGACGTCCCATATAGTTCATACCCCCTTATTTATCGTTTGCCAGCAGTCCACTTTTCAAAACAAATTTTGAAGAAACACTTTCAAACTGAACTTTGTGGATATGTTGCTCATGCAGTAATCATTCAGACTTGTCCTGGAGCAGCCAAACACTTCTGAATAGTTTATCTCTGCACCTTTCTTTGATTTATTCATGCAGCCTTCAAAATTCATCTACTTGGTATGCACTGTTTATGGCAGAACCATTCTTTAGATAATCTAAATTACGCCCTGTGGGTCCCAGAGAAAGATAGCCAGGCAGTTTCGGTCTGATTTTCACAGAATTCCAATTCGATCATCATTAGAGTGTAATGCGAGTTTTAAAATCGGATAAAAATTGTGACCTCTAGAGGGCCAACAACCTTGGAATTACATTCCTTTACACTATTTGCGTACAAGGAGTGGCCATTTTGTCGAGCAGTTTCAGTAAGATTTTCATGATATTCGAACTCAACCATCATTAGGATTTAACGGATATATATAACGGCTTTTCTAAATCGGATAAAAATGGTGGCTTCTAGAGAAATGAAATGAAATGAAATGGGGTTTAACGTCCTACTGTTTTGCTCCGAACTGGGCTAATGAAGACGGGCATACGCCATACAGTGTGCTATGAGGGAAATTTTGCCCGGACAGCGGCACTACGGCCTACTCTTATATCGAATTCCAACTGCCAAGGGATCTTTTACGTGCACGCCAATGTGTACACGGGACCTAGGTTTTCCGTCTCATCCTAATGACTAGACAGCTGTCCTTGTCAGGCCCTCCGTGGCTTCTAGAGGGACCACAAGCAAAAAACGTGATTTTTCGTATAATCAGAGGCCATAATCCATGAAGTTACGATCCGATACATGTCAATATCGACAGGAACCACTCTAAAGTCTATCCACATGTGTTTTTTTTAAAACATACATTATACAAGAACTAAATCTGCATATTGCAGATCTTCCTTTAGACCTGAAATGTTTTCTAAATTATTAATTAGACATTAATTAAGTGACCAAAGCCATAATCAATACTCGATAGCATCGGATTTCTCCGATATTAAATAGATTAGAACGGTTCAGCCATATTTTGATAAAATTTAAAAATAGAGGAGCCATCACATATCCAGGAAGCGAAAATTCTGGTGTCCGTTGAATGAAGAACTAAAACAATTGGTCCGGCGGCTCAAGTTGGGGGGGGGGGGATATGGCCAACCAGGGCGTGAATTATTGAGATCAAGTTTTTCTCGACCAGTTTTTTTGCGTAGATTCCGAATCTGGGTAGTGATCAGGCGTGGGTTGTTTTTTTGTTGTTTTTTTTTTTTTTTGGGGGGGGGGGGGCGTTTTTGAGGTCCAAAGTCTACAATTGGGGGGAAATGTGATTATGTCGACATAAATGATGATCATGTTATATTACTAAAACATAAATTTCTAGGGAATGTACATCTCTAAATAAGTGCATATGATGCACCTGGACAACTGTTTTGATTTGTGGGGTTAGAGGTTCCTGTTGTGCCTGTGAGGAAGAGGTGGGGGGGGGGTAAAATTTGCGGAAAATGTTGATATTCACTTGATATAAATGATGATTCCCTTAGAGCTTGGTAAAAACATTACTTTTACATGCCGCTGCCCACCTCTAAATATGTGTGGGGTGGAGGGGGGGGGGCAAAATATATTTTGTGAAATAGAAACCAAATGACTGGTTTAGAAAAAAAAAATTGTACCATGTACCATGTACCTTTCTTTATTACCACCTTGCAGTAGTTGTCTTTTGCTACATATTAAACGCAGCAATTATTTTGCAAGAATTTGGAGACGATCTGCAAAACCAATGATAGAACAAGAAGACCTTGCTGGAATGAAGATTTACAATGTGAATGGGTCAATTCTGAACCAAATGGTTTCTGTCCCCAAATACATGTTGCCCTCACCCTCACCCCTTCCCCCCCCCCCACCCACAAACACACAATGGGAAGCTTATACACATTTAGAAATGTTTCATCAAGGTCTAAAAAGTAGGTTGCCAGGCAAAGAAACATACGCCCACAGCAGCTAAGTCGTCCGGACAGGCAACAAGAGTTGTCGCATATTTTTTCTATTGTCGTTAATGAAACATTTATAATACACTAAAATCTGATTAAGAGTAACAACTCATTAAGTAATTATCATAAAATTACTTAGAATTTGTTTGGCTTTTAGTTCCATCCCATGCTAGCGTTTTATATACGAAACATTTAATATCATGGATTTAGCTGTTCAAGTTAACAAAATTTCATTGAAAATCAATATACTTGTTCGTCTCAAGATCCTTAAACCCTGTTTATCAATCTAAAGTCAATCGGATGATAACTTTGGTCTCTCGGGCATCCACAAGATTTTTCAAAGTGATCAAGGGCCATAACTCTGGAAATAATTATCTGAAATCACTGACAGTCACTGGGCTTCTGCGTCTCACGTTTGTGTGGAGTGAATGTTAAACCCCATTTCTCTCTCTCTCTCTGCGTCTCACGACCTTAAACACTGTGTATAAATCTGAAGTCAACTGGATATTAACTTTAGCCTCTAGAGCGTCAACAAGATATTTCAAGGTGATTAAGGATCAGTAAATATCGGATATCGTTGAAAATCAAAAGAATTCTTTGTCTCATGGCCTGGAAAATCGCATCGTGTATAAATCTAGAGTCAATCGGATATTAACTTTAGTACATGATATTTCAAAGTGATCTAGGGCAATGACTCTGGCAGTAATTATCTGATATCGTCGAAAATCAATAGGCTTCAATATCTCATGACCTTAAACACTGTGTATAAATTTAAAGTCAATCGGATATTAACTTTTGCCTCTAGAGCGGCCACAAGATATTTCAAAGTGATCAAAGGCCATAACTCTGGTAGTAATTACCAGATATCGTTGATAATCAATAGGATTCTTCATCTCATGACCCTAAACACTGTGTATAAATTTAAAGTCAATCGGATATTAACTTTAGCCTTTAGTGAGTCCACACGATTTTTCAAAGTGATCAAGGGCCATAACTCTGGAAGTAATTATCGTAAATCGCTGAAAATCAATAGGCTCCTCATTAATATAAACAACATATATCAATTCCAAAACAATCAGATGATAAATGTAGTCTGTAGAGTGTTCACTGGAAATTGTGGACGACGGACGGACGAGGGCGACGGCAATATAAATATAAATTGTCTGTGTCAAAATTGGACGATTTCGATACATAACTGTCATCAGTGAACGGGGGCTATAAGAGACTGGATTATTCTGTTTATATGTAATGCTAGATCCAAGTGTATGCTCACGATAATTGTATTTAGTGACGTAACAATTGCCTTCCTATTTTTAAAAAAAACAAAGATCGCTTGTGCTATCATTTCCGTTACTCGTGTGCCAAGTTTTGAATACAAACATTTTTGATATAAAATGAAACTTACAGCTTTGATCAGTCTGGTTTTGTTCCAACACCAAAATATCAGATTGGTCTGGCAGTGTTCTATGATCACCAATAATCAATGGAATTTCAATATGTCCAGCTCCCTTAGAATTATAAATCCAATTTGCAAAGTGAATCTCCTTTGTACCAGTAACCAATGGTTGGATGTCTATGAAACAGCTATACGTCTTCTGTAGTTCATATAGTAGGTGATCTCCTTCTTTACAGATGTATTCACAATCTAATGGACAGTTGATTCCAATACTGTACGGACCTAAATATTCCGTGCCCTCGACCGCTTCATTAATGTCTTCACCCCGAAGATCGTCTGTGCTAACACCCCCTTTTCGCGTGTATTGACGTAAATTCAACAATACTCGCTGGACGATATCTTTCAGTCCAACTATGAAGATGTATGTTTCTTGTTTTTCGACAACTATACTATTTTCAATAATATTCATGGAGTCAACCCAACCGTCTGGTAGATCATATTGTTTTAGTGACACCCTTTTGATATCCAGGAATTTGATAATGGCAACATTCAGGGCAAAGAACTCCTCGTTATTCAAAGATGGTTCTGTACTACCATCTTCGTTAAATCTTAACCTCTGGTTGTAACCGCTCTGTGAAAAACAGTATAAAATTTTATCCAGGATTGGTTTTCGTTTAGTAAACAGTTTTAGATAGATCAAATCTATTCGATTTACATCATACCTATCCTTATTCTTATAATTCGTGGTGTCTTGACTGGTGGATGAAAGTCGACACTTATCTTCTGTATGTGTGCCAGTGCCATTATCTCCTTTTTCGTCTGTGTTACCACCCAAATCTGCATCTTGTCCATTTCCCGGATGATAAAGAACACCCCGACTGTCACCAAGTTGTACAGCTCTGTCCGGAATTATTCTAACATTGCCATGTACAGGCCCCGGTACTGCTCCATCGCATGCTTCTAGTAATGTTGTACTTGGAACATTGGTTTTATCATGGATAGTCATATCCCCTGTTTCTGTGTTTGAACTAGACGGAGACTGCCATTGGGAATCATTATTGACATATCTATCCCCTGGGTCTACGTTTGAATTAAGAGTTGGTTGTCCTTGGGAATTATTATGGGCATATATATCCCCCGGTTCTCTATTTGAACAAGACATGGACTGTCCTTCGGAATTAAGATTGCCATATCTATCCTCTGGTTCTGTGTTTTGGCTAGACATGGAATGCCCTTGGGGATTATTATTGACAGATCTATCCTCTGGCTCTGTGTTTGAACTAGACGTGGTGTGCCATTGGGAATTATTACGGGTATATCTCTCTTCTGGTTTGGTGTTTGAACTACACAGGGACTGCCCATGTGAATTGTCATGGGCATTTGTATTCTCTGGTCCTGTGCTTGAACTTGACGACGGCTGCCATTGGGAATCCTTCTGGGCATATATATTCTCTGATTCTGTGTTTGAACTAGACGTGGGCTGCCATTGGGAATTATTACATGCACATCGATCCCCTGGTTCTGTGCTTGGGCTAGACGGGGACTGCCATTGTGAATTATTATTGTGTAGTCCATCTTTTCCGTTACCAATATTGGTATTAACGTGTGTTTCATTACTGGTACTACGATGTATCCTATCGTAATCACCCTTATCTTTCCCATCAATACCAATATTACAACATACAACATGTATCAAATCAATGGTTTGAGGATTAGTAAATATCCTTATTTTGTTTCCATTGAGTTCGAGTTTGTACATTGTTTGGTGCGCCTTGTCTAGTAATGACATCAAATATAGTTTCTGCGCCTCACTCCAACTTCTCAAGTCCACTGCCCATTCTATGGAATCATTTTTACAATAAACTATATCTATCTCACTGCCTCTGTTATCTATTATAGTAAACAGGAAATCACTATCTTTCAATATTTTGTAGGTTTGTCGTGAGACAGTACATTCCTCACAGAACGAAGAAAACTTATTTAATAATTGAATGATGTCGTCTTTGAGCTTCTCCCGTCTTGTGCCCGTTAGCGTGGCCGAAATCATACGACAAGGAGGTTTGGGTAAGGCATCCAGAACACATTTAAATTGCGACAGCTCATTTACAAGTTGTTGTTTAAGGTGGTTGACTTTATATACCTGTAAGAGCTGGTATATTGTTATATCTAGTGGTTCAGGGTATATGATTATATTCATAGATGGTTGGGTTGTAATTTTGATACGACATCTTACATCACGATCTAATGAATCTGATCTCCCACCACGTGTCTTACTCCTAGTCTGTGGATTGTGGGACATCTTGAACCTAATGTTGAAAATAACATTTATTTAGAACAAAACTTAAGATTTTACCAGTATTCGATTTCACAGTACTTTCAGCTAGTGAAAATTCTAATTATCGTTTCAGAATAATGCTTGCATATCGGGTGGCCCAGACAAAAAAAAAACGAGTACAGTATTTAAAGTAGAATATTTCAAGTGTTGTACCTATATTATTAACGTTTCGCATGTTGTATAATATTGATTTTAACAACTTCACTTCAAATAGTGCGTCCGTCGCGTAAATAGTGTTAACATCTTACGCGTTAATTAGTACTCGTACTGACAACATCTAATGCACCTGAGCTCCAAAGCTATCGACTAAGTTTATCTCAGATAAAGTAGCCTAGCTAGGACTCGACAATTTACTTTAGAGATTCTAGAGACTCTTCAGTCCCAAGGTTGTCTTTTCATTTCTTTTAACTGAATAAGGTATAAGTTCTTTTTATTTTATATTTTTTTAATACTTCCTTTTGCTTATAGGGTTTTTTTTTTTTTTTTTTTTTTGCTTATTACTTTTATTTTGTTTCAAAGATACATTATAAGAGATTAAATAAAGAGCTAGCAGTTCTCACTAATAGTTAAAGATAGGTTGCCAGGCACAGCAGCTAAATCTTCCGGGCAGTCAACAACAAAAAAAAACAAGCGTTGTCGCATATTTGTACTTTTTTCGGTAATGAAACATTTATAATACACTAAAATCTGATTAAGAGTAACAACTCATTTAGTAATTTTCAGAAAACCATTAGCATGCTAACATTTAGTATACGAAACTTTTAATATCATGGATTTAGCTGTTCAAGTTATAAAAATTCAATGAAAATCAATATACTTGTTCGTCTCAAGACCTTAAACTCTGTGTATCAATCCGAAGTCAATCGGATGATAACCTTAGCCTCTAGATCGTTGTAGGACGTTAAACTCCATTTCATTTCATTTCATTTCTCTAGATCGTCACAAGCTTTTTCAAAGTGATCAAGGGACCTAACTTTGGCAGTAATTATCGTAAATCGCTGAAAATCAATAGGATTCTTCGTCTCATGGCCTTAAACACTGTGTATAAATTTAATGTCAATCGGATATTAATTTTGGCCATGAGAGGGTCCACAAGATTTTTTGAAGTGATCAAGGAAATCGCTGAAAATCAACAGGTCTCTTCGTTTTATGACCTTAAACACTGTGTATAAACTTATAGTCAATCGGATATTAACTTTAGCCTCTAGAGCGTCCACAAGCAATTGTGGACACCGGACGGACGAACGGATTTTTCAAAGTGATCAAGGGCCATAACTCTGGCAGTAATTAATCGGAAATTGCTGAAAGTCAATATGATTCTTCGTCTCATGACCTTAAACACTGTGTATCAATTTAAAGTCAATCGGATATTAACTTTAGCCTCTAGAGCGTCCACAATATTTTTCAAAGTGATCAAGGGCCATAACTCTGGCAGTAATTATCGAAAATTGCTGAAAATCAATAGGCTTCTTCGTCTCATGACCTTAAACACTGTGTATAAATTTAAAGTCAATCAGATATTCACTTTGACCTCTAAAGCGTCCACAAGATTTTTTGAAGTGATCGAGGGCCATAACTCTGGCAGTAATTATGGAAAATCAATAGGCTTCTTCGTCTCATGACCTTAAACACTGTGTATAAATTTAAAGTCAATCGGATATTAACTGTGACCTCTAGAGCGTCCACAAGATTTTAAAAAGTAATCAAGGGCCATAACTCTGGCAGTAATTATCGGAAATTGCTGAAAATCAATGGGCTTCTTTGCCTCATGACCTTAAACACTGTGTATAAATTTGAAGTCAATCGAATATTAACTTTAGCCTATAGATTGCTTGTGGACGCCGGCCGGACGGACGGACGGGGGCGACAACAATTTCAATGTGGGCGTATAAAAAGGTGTAAAAATGAGCTATTTACAACCCATTCAGGCTTTTCATATTTCAAAATATTTCTTCGCAACTTTCATAAACTTGTGGCATTAATCCATACGAAGAGAATCTATGTCAAAATTAGTTTGTAATATGAGTATTTGCCGAGAAATGCTCAATTTTGCCCGAATCACTTTTTACGCTATTTTGCCTGTAAAAGAGCCAATTATTATTGGATTTTCATAAAAAATGACACCATTTGATGCGTAATGTCAATTTTGACTAGTTCAAACCAATTTATCATTTTCAATGTCCCCGAAATGGCGCCCTTTGGGCACAAAATGTATATATAGCCTTCAAAACAGATATTTTATTCAAGTGAGTCTGATTTGTAATGTTTTCAAAATTATGATATTTGATTCCAATCAACTAATAGAATTAACCCATACGATCATATAGATATCACAACATGTTTTCTAACTTATTCAGTTGCGGTGAAATAGGCGATTTTCAGCAGGTCACTTTTCAAGGTTTTTGGTCCATAAAAGTGTCAATTATTATTCGATTTTAATGAAAATTTCACTGTGTGATACCTAACGCCATTTACGATTTCATACAAGTAATTTAGTATTTTCATGATCACCGGAAGTACCGTCACTTTGGCAAAAACTGTATTTTTAGCCTCTAAAACAAGTAATTGTTTGAAGTAAGCGATATTCATTATTGGTTTAAAATTATGATATTTGATTCCTATAGACAAATAGTATCAATCAATACGATCAAATTAATATCACAAAATTGTTTTTAACATCTATCCTTGCCGAGAAATAACCAATTTTGTCAGGATCTATTTTTAAGATTTTTTGCATTTTAATTTCAGTGTATGGGTTCTGGGTTAATTATTTATTGCCTGATTTGTGTAAAAGAAAAGCTCACCTGGTGCAAATTCTCAACTTCTACCTATAAAAGTTTCTGTCGGCACCGGAAGTGGCGTAATTTTGCCCAAAACTTCAATTTTGACGTGTAGAATGGTCTTTTAAAAGGCAAATATTAATGTTTACAAATCTAATAGATCAAGATGAATGCTCATACTAAAGACGCAAAATATGTCCTGCTTTGTTTTGTTTCTTTTTATTTCGGTTTTGCATTTGCATCATTTTAATTTAAACCTGAAAAAGGGTGTAAAAATGAGCTATTTACTATGCATTCAGATTTTTCATATTTTAAAATATTTCTTGACAACTTTCACGATCACATTTTTGACATATCTAACGGATGGTAACAAATGTATAAATGGAATTGATATTGCTGGATTTGGCTGATTCTGCGTCCATTTCATAACACGTGTGCAATGCTTACGTAGAAATCTGTTTAACGGTTTCATTGGTACCGAATGTGACATAAGTTCAAGGGTAACGAGGCACCGTAAGTGACATAAGTTCAAGGGTAACGTGGAACCAGTGAAACCCGTCGCAGTTTTAGTTATTATTATTATTATTATTATTATTATGTCAGTGACAAATTATATTTCTGTTCCGCTGAATGTAGCCAGCCATTTAGCAGCAATGGGCATAGCCATCACATTTAGCAGTACTATGAAATTGACAAAAGTGAATGTCTATGTACCCCGAGAGGTTACAATAGAACCAGATGACTTCCAGTCACTCCTCCATCAGCTTCCGCAGGGCAAATCTTTTTTGTGGAGATTTCAACTCAAAACACGCTCCGTGGGGGTCACCGAGGGATGACTGCAGGGAGACTAGCCTGTGCTCAATAATAGAAGGGAACCACCTATGTGTACTGAATGATGAGAGTCCTACATTTGTAGGAGGAAATGCCCCATCTTCACATCTGGACTTTACATTCTGTACGCGTGGTACAGTGATCATCTGGTGATAAATTCAACATGCAATCTGTCCCCCATATTGCACTAAGCGTGCGTCCTCCGTATAGTATTTCCGGGATACTCTCTAGGTGGCGCGATCAGATTCAAATCCAGGGACTTTGGAGGCCACTGATATTTTTATTATAAAGTTGCGGGTGATCCCCTAGATGGATTGTTACCCGCCGCAAGACTATTTGAACTACTGTTATGTGTTTCAGCAGGATGGGACTGAAGGCAACACACGCGAACTGGCTTAGATCTATCTCGAGGAGGCCACCCCAGACTTTCTAAAAAAGATAAAAACATGGAATAGTTACTAGAATCTGAATTTAATCTCCGTGTAAAACAATCTACCCCAGACTTTATAAAAAAAATAAGATCAGAGACAGTCGCAGTCCCGGCACCTGAATCCGGAAGATTTCGCGATCTGGAACAACCTCTCAGATAAAGTTCCTGGAAGGACGCACGAAACAATATGCTTAGACGAAATGCTATTTCTGGGTGGAAAATAGCCCTAATCGTCTGCACCAATAGAACTACCGAGAACGGGCACGCGTCATAAAGTGTGCTATGAGAGAAATTTGGCAACGACAGCAATTGAATTCCAACGAATATTATTAGTCTGGATGCATTGTCAACATTTGAGAATAATAGGCCATTGGCTAGATTATCCATTTGACATTTTCAAAAACACAGCCTAAAACAAGACGTTGACGCCCATGAACTCAATTTAAGAATGCCATTTCAGAAAATGCATGTGATTGCATTGCCAGTTAAATATCCAACACTTTTTAATTTTTTTTATTGTAAAATTTCTCTCTTCATGGGCCATATATCTATATTTTTTAAATTAATCCTAATTCGTCGTCATGATTTATGTTGGTTTGTATTAATGCAAGAATTTTGGGATTTATTGAGGGAAGGGGCGTAAGGTGGATTAAGGCCTTAAGAGAAATGGCGAAGATTTTTCGTCCCATTAGATGAGATATTCATCATTTAAATTACTCTTTTCGGGCAGCATATAAATAAATAACTATACAATAATATCAGAATGAAATATTAAGTTCAGAAATGCGTTACATAATTGGAGATTATTTAGAGAAAAATTTCAATTAAAACCTTCCATACATGAAATTGATTAAAACATCTTTATCATTAATGAGTATTATAAATAGAAAGCGAGGATTTCGCGGGTTGTTGTGGTATAGGTTACACGCG